TGGTAGGTTGTCGCTGACAGTGTCTGCCCAAGTGATATGAATAATGTATTTCAAACATGCTGGGTTTATATTACAAACCAAACAGACTACATCGTACCATAAAATAGAAAACAACATTTGTACAATATCTAGTCAAAAGTAACTGTGAATGTGGGAGATTGTAATCAATAGACTGGGCATAACTCAACAACGGTAACTCATATAATAATCTATGGGTCAAAATAAAGCTCATAATAAGAGGAACATGAATGTGCATAGTTTAGCTACTTAATAATAATACAATAAAAATATATGTATCGTATTTGTCCATAAATAGTTCTCAAAAACTACCATTCATAATTCTCGTTGGGATATAACATCTCCTTCTTTTTGGATTCGGCGTTGATATCCAGACTTTAAATTCCCTGACTTTATACTCCCTCACGAAATAGTGTTAGATCCTCATATTCCTAAGTCAAAATTAATATGACTCTGTTTAAAACATATTTCCTGCATTGAATAGAGAATCCACTAGGAAAATCAGTATCAATCAAAATTGAATTAGGTTCTTGATCATCATTTGATTCATCCGACACATTTTTCTCACTTTTGTAAGAAATTTCATCAAGAACATGTGATTCACTAAGATAACCCATATCTGGTAAAACAACTAGAAAATTTCAATAAGTAGACTCATGAGAATGTTTAGTCATAGAATGATGTGCTGCACTTAGTGCAACTGTATTTATTATGTATGTATTCATTATTTTCTGTTTCTTCGTGGGCGGGTACTGCAACAATTTCATGATTATTTAACAAGACACCGTGTCTTTCTGTGAGCTGAACAAGTCACGGCTTGTGAATTGTGTTTCGGGAATAATGGGAATCGAACCCACCACAGGGCATGTCTCTGATATGAACAATGCTGGACCACTGGGCGGATCATGCACGACTGCTACGGTTTTGTTGAAATTACTGCTTGTCAAAGATTCATGGAGGCTTTTACTGACACATTTATTCATTCTGAAATCACTTTCCAGCTCTGTATGCAGTTTAGAAATTAATTCATTAACTTCCGTCACATCTCCGAAGCATGGATGATTTATCAGCCGTGTGCGTAATTTGTCTATAATTCTCGTCAGGATATAACAAACGTGTTAGATTTTTGTTCATCGACGATATTCAGATATTTTTAATGTTAGTTTATAGAATAAGACAGTAATGTTTCAAAACCATAGGAAAAGCAGGTAACTGTCTTATTGTTACTTAACCTTCTCTGACCCAAACATTAACTGTTGCTTAGGCCTTAATGAATTATAAATCTTTCTTCTATTTAACATCAGAGTACGTATAAACTCCAGCGTAAGCTTACTTTCAATCAGTGATCTATATCTTACTAATCTGAGAATTTCAATTCTAGTACTTTTTGAGTATTATTCACTTGATTCTGAATAGTTTAACCTTTGAGTGACAGGCCAGATGAGTCTAGATGTGTCATAATTTGCTGAAGTGAAGGTGATTACATGTCCTAAGTCCAGTTGTAAGTGACAATTACAAGCATGACAGGTCAGTGTTGTGAGTTCACCCAACCAGGGTCAATGCTAAATATATTTTGTCGGTTCAGACACATCTAAATATGCTCTGACTGTGCGCAAACAATACGGTTTGTTACTAATGCTTGCTAGTCATTCTTAATCTTATTAATTGAATATCGGAGGCTTAGTGAGCATATACTTTAAAAAAATTGGACTGACATCATGGACACTAAGAAGTATATATATAATGTTGCGAAACTGTTAAAATCTACACTACAGTAATACTATATTTTAAACTTTAATATGTTAGCACTTCAACATCATTTACAATATTTACCCTTAAATTCCCCGTACTCGCCTAAAAAAAAAACGAATTCTCCAAAAACATTTTGATTAAGGTAATGCCTGTCACCGCGGAAGACAGAAAACTTTTGATTACGATAACGTATTCTAATGCATAATTATGCTTCCATTTACAAAGGTAGTTGAAGATTCATGATTTTCACTATGGCTAAAAACACGCATTTGTATGTAGTAAACTTACACTATGATCACGTCAAGAAGTACATACATTTCTGTATTTCGATGACAATATAATAATTTTTTATTTAGTTTCACTGATTCTCTACTTACAGAAAATGATTCATTGTCAAATACTTCACATAAAAAAAAAATCATAATCTAATGAATTAAAAATGGATGTAAATCGGCAGTCAGTTAATAAAGGATGGGACTTTCTATTTCATGACTTATTCAATTAAACAGATTGTTATTAATTTGCGCAAAGATGTTACCATTATGTGCATCGGAATGCCAGTTTGAGGGTTTGAAAGTGCAAGAAAAACTTTTTTTAACTGGATATTTTGCAACCTTAAACCAGAAAATCCATAGGAAACAGAAAAGCCCTGTCCAACAAGCTACATACGTTTCCGATTATCCAGAATAATAATTGCGATTGGTAACAATTCGGTTTCATTTGCCAATAAATGTGAATAATCAAGTAACACCCTTACCCATACACATTTAAAGGCAGAAATAAGCACAGACGTAGCAAACAATAGCGGTTATAAAAAGTCGTTCCCATAAATTTCGAGAACATCTAACAGTATAATTCTGAAATTCTGGCTGAAAATAGCCAGCTAGTGGACATATTATACTCCCGCATTGATATTCATCGCGAAAATTAAATCCAAAATTCCACATACGCCATAATAACGTATACATGATCAAATATATTTTATGCTTATAAATCTACATGTGTATGAACATATGATCTGTTTTGAAGGCAACTGCAAATGTGCTAAAGTAACTTCGGAGTCATTTCTTCATGGACTTGGCAATTAAGCTTCTGTATAGTAAAGCAGGTCACGGGTTTAATCTAAAAACAACCTTTAAATGCTCAAATAGAAATACTCAGTTTGTGAAATCTGTAACCATTAGAAAATCTAACCGTTCTTTATGTTTGAAAGGATGTTTGTCCTAACTTTTAACAACACCTAGAAATTCCTATTCTAATAGCAAATTTATTCCATACTCTCTTAAACTTACATTTCTAACAGTCATGCAATTTGGAATCTTGTTTGTATGCCTCAGTATCGATTATAGATTTTCTACATACTTTCTTCTCGCTTACTTTAAATTTAGATTATCGCTGCATTATACCTGAAATAAATTTTCCTATTAAGTCATGACGAGTTTATCCAACGTAGAATTCTCATATGACAACTGAGTAGTTCACATAGAATTAAATAAGACCTAAGCTTTTCATATAATATATGTATTACGGTTACCAAAATGAATGATAAAATACGGTTTACCATATTTTCTGAATATTTCACCAATTGTGTTAGCCCTGATAAAGAGGTCGCAAAGAAATTGAGAAAGCATTTTTAATTTGAAGTTCAGTTCTACTTTGCTTTAACGTTTCCGTTAAAATACATTATGGATCGAATAAACTACAAATACTGATTAAGTGTTATTGATATTCACAATAAAACTTTAGGTCTATGAATACAGCAACTGAAGTAATTAAGGGGAATATTACGAAACATACACACATCACATAAAACTATACTGACACAGATTTCGACAAACTTAAGAAATTCAGTCAAAGATACTACTATCTAAGTTGGTTTACAATGTAGAAAAATAGATTCCAGTAAACACTAGTTAGTACGTTTTCAGGCAAAATCTTTTAAAGATAGAAGGTGGGAGCACTATGGTAGAGACATGGTATTACAAATTGTCAGGCAAGTAGACAATTGGTTATAGTCGGTGAAGTCTTTTGGATGGCAAATAATCAGTGATTTTTGAATAGCTACAGCTTGTTCTTTTTCAGGTTTTTTCAAAAAAGACCCATTGATCCACGTTTTAAAAAAAGTATATTTTTTAACAAACCCATCTGCCTTGCAATAATCGCGTTTACAAAGCAGAAAGTAATTAATATGAAAGTGAATGCATAAAACCAACAAAGTAGGCGAAGAATATTTCAAGAAAACCGATATTACTGAAACATTGTTAACGTGTGACCGAAGTAAATGTTAAAAATACACCAATTCTTTACAATGGTCGATTCTTTATTTGCATAAAACGAGAAATGTTTGTTTTAAAAGGTGATAAATAATCATAAAGTATACATAAAAAACCTTCACTCAAAAAAACCCTTGCTAAGTTGATTTAACAGACTTACATATTCATGCATACACTCCACATTTTGTGAGCAAAAATATAATCACAGTCATTGCTTAAATCATTTACAAGTACAAGTGGTTGACTACTAAATAATTTAAACATGTGTAACTAGGACAACAAAAAAGCACATTTTGAAGCTTGATGAAAGACAGAATAACCGGCAAACTCCCAGAAAATATAAGAAACGTCAGTTAAAAAAGTAATCAGGGTAAAATAAGATACCTGACGGCGCAGACAAAATCAATAGCGAAAGGAATAACCAAAGATGAACCGGTAGAGTTAGATACAGAACCCGTTATATGAAATAGCACAAATCAGTAGTACGAATTAGAGTACATAGTTAAAGAAATAAATAATTAGTAGGACTGAGATTGCTCTTTTGTAATTTTGAATACAATTCGCCTAGAAATCGATTATACAAAAGTCCAATAAACCTCTATACTACTATACTAAAAAGTAGCATAAGTAAGGGAACAACTCTATTAGGTGGATAAATACTATACAAAATACAACGAAAAACGACAAGGATCACAATGAATAATTTCATAGAATGAACTGGGATGGGGATGGTATTAAAGAGATTGAATACAACTATGTACAATAATGAAAGTGGAAAGTGAAGGAGAATTATTCTGAAGGATTATTGATTTAGACAATATGGAATAATGAGAAATTAACTGAAAATAATAATGATAATTCACAAACAAATAAGGAAAGAAATGAAGAACAAAAGGGAACGGAACTAAAAAAAACCAGAAGATGCCTTTTTGACTGACAACTACAATGCATACGTGTTTAAATATCTTTAACAGATAATAAATTCATGCGTTCAGATGAACAGTTATATTTACCACAATGATTGGTATTATCATGATGATGATGTGTTAATCCATTCATTAAAACACTCGAGTTGATAAATGATTTAGGATAATGTCCAATAACAGATAAATGTAAACCCATAGCTTGAGTATGATATTCATATTCTTCTTTTTCAATTTGTATAGTTAAATGAGATACAGATGTGAAATGATTTTGAATTAATTCTTTAATCTATTACCCCAATGAAAAAGAATAAAGTAGGTAAAACTTTGTTTAGTAAGTTAAATGGTAATGAAACATAATTATTAATGAACAAAAAACAAGTTACTATTAGAACTAACGACACTTATCTGCACACAATCCAGACGCTTAGAACGATGGGCGGAAAATTTTAGAGGACAGTTTAGCTGGCCTTTAGACTAACTAAGACTAGTGAACTGCAAACACGTGAAAATCAGGCTGGCTTCAGACCTGGTCGTGGCTGCATCGACCACATATTCACCATTCGTCAAGTTCTAGAACACAGGCATACTTATCGGCGTCCGACAATGGTGGTCTTCCTTGACTTACAAGCAGCATTTGACTCCTTAGACCGAGAGGTTCTGTGGCAGTGTCTGTCATAGAAAGGCGTACCTTAGAAGTACATAAACCTTGTGAAGGCTCTTTACTCGAACACTACTAGTCGAGTGAGAGCTTATGGCGAACTGTCATCTGCTTTTGCAACCTCAAATGGTGTCCGTCAAGGCTGTCCACTTTTTCCATCTTTGTTTAACTTCATCATAGATCTACTGATGGAAATACACTGATGACATAGTTCTGTTTGATGAAGACGCTGATAAAATGCAATCTTGTGGTGGCAATAAGCAACAACACCAGAATGTTTGGAATGCGCTTCTACCCCTCTAAATGTAAGTTGTTGCTTCAGGACTGGTCTGTGTATACACCTGACCTAAGAATAAGGAGTGAAGTAGTAGAACGTGTCGACAACTTTACTTAGCTTTGAAGTCTGATCAGAACTAATGGGTTGGTGTCTGACGAAATGTCAGCACAGATTCGAAGAGCTCGTTCGGCTTTCGCCAACGTACATGACCCATGACGAAGGCAAGATATCCGTCTATAAAATTAAGGGACGAGTATACTGCGCGGCAGTTCGTTTTGTTCTACTTTACGGCTGCGAAACGTGGCCATTAAGGGTAGAAGATATTCGTAAGCTAATAGTATTTGACCACAAATATCTTATAAATATAGCTCGCATCTACTGGGACCACTGAGTAAGTAATAGTGAGGTTAGACGCAGGGTATTAGAGAATGATTGCAAACCAGTTGATGAGGTTGTAAATTTTCATCGACTATGATGGTTCGGTTGTGTGTTACGTATGCCTGAACACCGATTACCATTACGTGCAATGCTAACCTGTGTTGGGGGATGGCTAGAAGAAAGTTAGGGGCAATCAAACCAAAACGTGGCATCAGTCCTTGAATTCACTAACTTCTGGTCTGAGCCATGTTGATAGATGCAGACTGCCTGGTTGGAGTCCGCGTGACTATCATAACCAATGGTTGGAAACTCTTGATGATATGGCTCAGAATCGATCACAATGGCGTAGGTGTATACACTCTCTGTCTTCCTTTAAACTAAGAGATTAAAATCACTTCATATCTTTCTTTCTACGAACTAATTCTTTCTTCCTGTACCATCTCCTTATATGCAATCTTTCTTTTATATACTACCACCACTGGATTAACTACTTCTATGAATCCGGTGTTCATCTTGTTGTGCTGATGCGATATGACAACTTGGACCGATGCATATATGTGCCTGGTCCTACGTTTTAGCTGACTGACTGAATGTTAGGTCCTAAGTTTTGTGACTTAAAAAAAACGGTTAATAAAAATTTGGACGCTGAAATTCAATTTGAAAACATTTATAACCAAAAGGCAGAACTAGTAACTTCATCAAAAGATGACGTCGAAAGATTTAAATCAACACTAGTGGACTGTTGCTTTAGACACATGAATAATGAATATAATTCGAAATGGATTTTGACGAAAAAATATAAAGAATCTTTAAGGAAGTAGATAATAATTTGTTAATTACGATATCAGACAAAGGTTATGGTGTAGTACTGATGGATGAAAACAACTGTTTAAACAGGATGAAAGCCGTTTTAAGTGATAGGAATAAAGAATGATGTGACAGACAGAATTGAAAAACAACTAGTGAACTCATTGAAACATTAAAAAAGATTTTATTCCAGAAAACATGTTCGAAATATCAGACCTACGGCAACGATGACAGCATGGCTATATGGTCTACCGAAAATATATAAAAGTGGCTTGCCCCTTCGACCCGTTTTAGATATGAATAATTCAACCTATCATACTATAGCAAAATGGTTATTGCAAATTCTCAAAACATTGCAAAAGGAAATTGTTAAGCACACTTTCAAGGCTCCTTTGAATTTGTGGATAATATAAAAAATCTATTGATCAAAAATAACTTGATGATACCATTAGATATATTGTCCCTATTCACTAACATCTCTCTACATAAAACTGGATTTTATTTGCAGTGAACTGAAAGAGGGGCGGATAAAAATCTTGATTCTCGTATTCGCAATAAAACAGTTAATTCTTAGATTCATGATGAACGTCTACTTCAGATTCAACAATAAATTCTACAGACAATACGATGGTGTAGCCATGTGGTCACTATTAGGTCCTCTACTGACAAACATTTTTCTTTCAAAACTGGGAAATGAACTACTTAAAGACATAATCAGTCATCTAACAATTTACTGTCTCTATATAGATTATACTTTTATAGTATTACATCAGATCATAGGGAGGATAATAATATTCATCCATCTATTACTTATACACTTGAGCAAGAACACAGTAATAGCACATGCTTTCTAGATGTCTAATTAACAAGCAGAGTAGATGGAACATTAAGAAGAGGGGTACATAGAAAGTCTGCAGTTGAACAGTGTGCTCATTTCTACAAATTAGATATAAGAAACTGATTCATCGTGTTAGAATGATTTTCTCTGATAAAACCATTGTAGATGGATTGAGTAATATTCGTAACCCGTTTAGTAGGAATGGATACCCAACGAAATTCACCCATAAATGAATAGGATGAAAAGAGAACCAAATATATCTACTATCCCAGAGAAAGTATTGGTGTTAAAATTACAATTTCTAAATGATGCTGCCGAAGAAATTGTAACTCAAAAGGTTAAGAAAGACGGTGCAGAAGACATTTACTGCAGACAAACTGAATGTGATTTTCTACAACCGCTTGATAATAAAAGCCATCAATAAAGACAAACTGCCTTAACTCGACACATCCATATGTAGTCACCATTTCAACTACTGTGAAGCCAGTTATATAGAAAGTACAATTCGGCAAGTCCGTCACTGCATAGTACATGATTTACGAGTTCGTCTGTTGCATTTTGTTCAAGCTATCGGAATCCGTGTTCATAAACCTTTTTGTCGCCGTTATATTTGAGTCCGGGTAGATCGTGTAAATGATTGTTATCCTCGTATATAATTATCGATTTAATCCGCGTTAATCAATAACGGAATTAAATAAGTCAAATACAAGAATGAATTTCGAATATGTATATTTCATACAACCGTTCATCCAGACAAACGAGCGGAGAAATGAAGCGAAATGATACGCAGTGGAGTGTAAGCCAACTCGAATTAATCAAGCGTTAATCGATATTTATATTCGCATAAAAATAAGTTACAGGCATGTGATGAATAGGATAAGAAATGAACACACATACGCTTATATAAAAACAGTTAAGGTTGATAAGCGAAAAATTAACAAGGTCAAAAATGTGACTCAAGAAGAATGAAGAAATTGGCCTGACCAGAAGCTACAATAAGTATGTGAGCTTAACATATTAACCGACACTACAACCTAACCTTTGCATCTAAAAAAAGTGTGTACAACCACTAACATCACCATCGGTATAGAAGTGAGTTTCTAGCTGAACTTTGGTTAAATACCACCTTTCAAAAATATTTAAACAACTTCCGTCTACTTGGGAATCGTTGGTATCTGTAATCTTAAGTAGAATGATGTTACCTATGATATCCAGAAGTCTATCAAGGATGCTGTTATATCTAGAAGGTTGTTTACTTGATATACCGCGTATAACTGAGCACTAGAATGCAAAAACCCTTCCAAGTCGCAAGGAGAAGACACAGGACTAATCAAAGGAACATTATTCCAAACAGTGTCAATTATAGTACAAAATTGTCAGCTATTTATAGTTTTTAGTAAGAACGAAATCATCATTACAGTCCTCCAATCCGCACACAGGGGGTTATTAGCCTTGTCCAATCGGAAAGCTACACGTAGGAATTCTAGAATATTCTTCCGAAAGGTGATTGGATGGTGTATCTTCTGCTCCTTCTGAGTCTCTTACAGCTTCCTCGTGTTCACCCGTGGTCCATCGTCACAGATGCTACCAATGGGCTTTTTACGCTGGCAGGAATCTTTTGTTGCACTGAGATGTTGACAATAGTAGATCAATAAAAGATTACTAATATCATATTCTCTAGTCTTTGGTGTAGAAATCGTTCCATAGAACAAAAAATTCCATAATTAACATAACTTATAAAGCCGTTAACCATTTAGTCTTATTATTGCTTTTTAAGCACGTATTTTTATTTGTTTGAGCATCACCTTTAGTTCTAGTTTGAAGAAAAGAAGACTAGGCATTTTGTAGCACTTTTTCGCGATTAGGATATACCTTACATTCGAACTAACTTTTTTGGTTAACGCTATAATCAGAATCACTAAGTGGCTCATATGAGTTATTACACATGAGAATTTTCCAGGCTCTCATTCGAAATATTCCCAGTAATACTTTTATCCCATTAAAAACGGTTGAACCTAATGAGTCACATTTGCAAGACCATAACTATAGAGAATAGTTGAGGAAAGACAAAAATGTGAAAATACTACAGAACGTATCTGTTATTTAAATGCGTAAGCAACACTGTGAACAAAACTATAACTACAACATTCAAATCACAAGAAATATTAATTCTAAGTAAGTAAAAGTATTGGAAACTACCTTTCGTAATAATACTTGTTCTGAGGCACTAGACTGAATTCGAACTGTTACACAAACACATACGGATTTATGCGTATGGGTCCAAATAAATGGATTTGAAACAGAAACAACTTCATCCACTTGTAATATCTGAAAAAGTTGATTAAAACAATAAAACATATGAGCAACCAAATTATTGAATGCATCTAAACCATTGTGAATGATCCTAAGTGATGTAGCTCAAAATCTCTGACCTATTATCGTGGTAAGAACGCAGACCCCAACCAAGTAAACTGTATCTATCAGCATGCCTCACACCCACAGTTTATGACTTCATAGACTAAAGCCATGTTTTGGTTTAGCCAATCTCAATTTTTTTCTAACCTACTACCACACCATACAACATCATGAATCGAGCCATGAGGTGATTAGATGTAAGTAACATATGTTCTAATCACCTCAATCGATGAAGATTCATTACTTTAACTTACCTATGCCTAAATAAATATACAAAAAGTAAAAATCAGTTGTTTATTACAGTTCTTATGACAACCTGTTACAATTTGATCAAAACGTGACTAAGTTCATTTACGTTCAACTCATTCTACTGAAAAGTTGAAATAAAGATGTGATAGTTAAGTGTCCGATTGTTATTGAAGCTTATATTTTAGACACTATTGGTCAAAAATGATTTCTCTGTGATTGTCATGAGGGGGCTTTTGTCCTTTCTTGCAAAATTGATGCTATCAGGTATTGAGACCGGTCAGATGGAATTACGACCAGTCCTCAGATCCTAGCAAAGATTTCAGTCAAGCTAACTGTTAAAACTAAACCACCATCCTTAGAGATTTTCAGGGCTCACGCATCTGTAACTAATGTTTTCTCCAACTTCACATTACCTATAGCCGTTTCAACCTAACGAACAGTCGGAAAACTTATGCCAATTTGCTATTCAGGTTGTATAAAGGTGGATAATTGAAGGGTAACCTAAGACGGGTTGAGTCAGTCAGTCAGCTAAAACGTAGGACCAGGCACATATATGCATCGGTCCAAGTTGTCATACCGCATCAGCACAACAAGATGAACACCGGATTCATAGAAGTAGTTAATCCAGTGGTGGTAGTATATAAAAGAAAGATTGCATATAAGGAGATGGTACAGGAAGAAAGAATTAGTTCGTAGAAAGAAAGATATGAAGTGATTTTAATCTCTTAGTTTAAAGGAAGACAGAGAGTGTATACACCTACGCCATTGTGATCGATTCTGAGCCATATCATCAAGAGTTTCCAACCATTGGTTATGATAGTCACGCGGACTCCAACCAGGCAGTCTGCATCTATCAACATGGCTCAGACCAGAAGTTAGTGAATTCAAGGACTGATGCCACGTTTTGGTTTGATTGCCCCTAACTTTCTTCTAGCCATCCCCCAACACAGGTTAGCATTGCACGTAATGGTAATCGGTGTTCAGGCATACGTAACACACAACCGAACCATCATAGTCGATGAAAATTTACAACCTCATCAACTGGTTTGCAATCATTCTCTAATACCCTGCGTCTAACCTCACTATTACTTACTCAGTGGTCCCAGTAGATGCGAGCTATATTTATAAGATATTTGTGGTCAAATACTATTAGCTTACGAATATCTTCTACCCTTAATGGCCACGTTTCGCAGCCGTAAAGTAGAACAAAACGAACTGCCGCGCAGTATACTCGTCCCGATAAGTATGTCTGTGTTCTAGAACCTGACGAATGGTGAATATGTGGTCTATGCATCCACAACCAGGCCTGAAGCCAGCTTGATTCTTTCGTGTTTGCAGTTCACGAGTCTTATGCGTCTGGTAATTATCGAGGCTAGTATTTTAGACACTATATTAGTCAAACTAATCCTTTTATGGTTGTCACTAACAGGGGATTTTTGATACCTGTCACCTTTATAAGTCTGAATAATTGTCCACTGTTACCAACTGGCATTACTTTTTCTATTTATTTTGTTTTTGCTACCCACCACTTGTGTAGACTTTTTATCGGTATAGATTGAATAAATGAAGGAAATTTAAAAAATTTGTGAATCATAAAACAAATAGAATGATAAATCAAAACGATCAAATAAACTCTTTCTATGCATTTAGATAACTTGACGATATGATAATTTGAAGTACGTATACTATTATTAGAGTTGTCATTTGTTTAAGTACATAACATTTTTAATTAGTAATAAGACCTAACAATCAGTTCATTCACAATGACACAAATTACTCACAGATAATTTACTCTTACATAAGTAACAGATTTAACTTGGTTACACTTTATAACAGATTGTTTTGTATACTTCTTTTATTCACTAAGTCTATAAAAAATATATGATAAGTAGTGAAATAAAAAATAGAAATAAATATAAATATAAGCAAATATAAATATTAGATGACTTACTTTCTTAACCATTAATTGAGAATGAAATTCATCAGGTACTTTTAAAGTAAGCAAACAAAGGGTATCATTGAGCAAAGGCATAGCTGAATAGCCAATTACACAAGCAATAAACATTGAACATATGGGGTCAGCTACATTCCAACCATAATTGGTCACCAGAAATGAACTGAATATTACACTTACACTACCCAAAGTATCAGCTAGCACATGTAAATAAACACCTATGCAAAAAATGAAACAAAATAAAAGTGATAAGAGAAAGTGCAATATGAAACTAACGAATAGTATTTCATTTGGAAATATAGACTTTTGCTAACGATTAACAAAATTTGTGTCAACATGGCACTATTCATTTATCAAGCATAGATCTACATACAAAACTTTGGGTCACAATGTATGTGAGAACTAAAGATCCTACACAGCTACACCAAACCGAAATTTGTTAAATATTTGTATAACAATTCGATTACATTTAAATATTATTAAATTAGTATATAAGAATACAAACCAACAAATATCCTTTAAATGGGTTAAAACCTCTTAATATATCCTAAAGTTAGAAAATCTTTCGGTACATTTTGGAAGTACATCATATAACTACACATTTGGAGCCCTTTTACAACAGTCTAACTGCAACACAAAATATATAACTGCACTATTCAAAGTTGTGAACATGAGAAAAGTTGAAAACGTATCAAAATATACCTCGTAAGTTAGCATCTTCTGCTTCATCTTTCTGTGATTTGTGCGATCCACAGAGCTGCTGATGACCGTGTGTATGACCATAATGAAGTTCTTCATTATGAGCTTCAATAGCATGTTTGTGATCACAGTGATGAGAATGAGATCTGTTTGAACTGTGGCTATGATTCCGGCTATGGCTGTGACCATGCTCGTGATTATGACAATGTCCACTAGAACTGTTTCCATGACTATGACCGTGAGAACCACTATGACTGTGACCATGCCCACCATGACTATGACCATGGCCTCCATGACTGTGAGCATGACCAAGAGCGACAACACCAACAATATTTACAAATAAACCTAAAATAGATACAGCCTAAAATAGAAAAGTTGAAAATTTGGGTAAAGAAACAAAGAAATTGTCCAATATATTATTCAACAGAAATTTTATTATTAGCTTTGAATAACGAACAACAGCAAGACTACTAAAACTTAAGATCTACATGAAAACAAAGAGTAAAATATATCCGTCCCGCTGTAACTGGTTTGCCACGCTACTCGACGTTTTCAAATATTGGTCGAGACGATCATGTGGACCCCAGACAAGTAATCTGCATCTACTAAGATGGCTCAGACTAACAGTCAACAACTTCATGGATTGATCTCACTTTTTTAACATTCCCATATATGTGATGAATTCTACTCAAGCTGACAGATATAAGTAGTATGTAGCACCAATCGGGAGTGGAATGCCTAGAAGTAAGAAATTGTAATGAAGAGAACAGGAATAAAATCTGAGAACAGTCGAAATAACAACAGAATTAGAGAAATAATGGAGTGTGTAAAGGACAACACAAAGAAAATGTGCGAATAATGTGTGTGATTTTGAGTTAAAAAATAAATTGGTTACCCCTTCCAAGTCTTCGTTCGCTCCATATATAATTCTTTGAAATGAGTGGACCCATGCATATTGTTAATGAGTTGAGGTGTAAATATGAAGATAAAAGATCTACTATTGTTACATCATACTGATGTAATTTGGTGAATTTATATTCATCACTGATTGAAGTGATGCGTAATAGTTTCTATCAGTAAGTAATGACAGTAAGACTGTAAACACCAGCAACTTTAAAAACATATTGAAATGTATATGTTTGTTAAGTGGTAGCCCGATAAAAATATGTTTCTGTTAAAATTTCCATATCTTTCCGATTTTTTCTACTACAATAATGGTCAATCATATAAAAATAAATAGAGGTAGAGAAAAAGCTTATCACTAGTTTTCTATGCATAAACCCAAATGTTGAGTAATGAAAAATTAATTGTGTAATAGCAAAGCATATCATCAAGAAAGATAAAAATAGATTAATAAACTTACCAATAATTTATCAGTTTTAATGTCTGGTGGTTGATGAATACGTACAATTGAATTAACAAACACCGATCCAGATATAACCAACAGGAACAGTGCATTGACAAGTCCAGATAGAATCTCTGCACTATTATATCTGAATAAGCATGCGGAAAAAAAACAAATTCTGTAGTTCTTTGAAAGAGATAATTGAAGCACAAAAATAATCACACGATAACTTAAAGCGTAAATATTAGTAAAAGGGTGGCTTACATAATTAGTGGCAAAAATGACTCATTGAACGATTGTAGTATTATCCTCAGTAATACAATCGTGACGAGAGGTTTGATTTCGTGACAGAATGGTAAAGTCCAGCACTAGATAGAACCTATGTCGGTTATTCTAGATTCCAAATAGACCATATTATCCATTCTTTTTGAGCCATATTTACACGTTGTCAGTTATTCACTTACTAACCTTGACTCCTTTTATATAATTGTATTTGTTAATTACTTATCCTATTCGTCACATGTCTTCAGCTCATTTTTGTTTGGATATAAATATTGAGTCACGCTTGGTTAAAGGAAGTTGACATGTCTACCTTCTCGGATCTAATTCTCCGCTCCATTTCTCTGATTGTTTGCCTGGATCAACGAGTGCATGAAATATACGTATCCCAAATTCATTCTCGTATTTGACTTATTTAATTCCGTTATTCACTAACGCGAATTAAGTTGATAATTATGTACGAGGGTATCTGTGATGTACATTTCGTCAACATCATTATACGATCAAACCAGAGTCAGATCAACGGGCCACAAAAGTATGTTAAACACTCTTCCAGTTAAATTTTAGTGACCAATATTTTCAACTTTAACGACCGTATAAAACACACTAAGCTGTTATGAAGTGTCCTACGGTTCGCTTTTAATCACATACCAACCAGATAATTTTTCCATTACAACCGAAAGTATCTACTCAGACTATTCGCGAGCAAGAGATTAAGATTTCTGAAGAAAATCACCTACGTCTAACCCGTTGAGTATAGTGGGATGACACTCAGAACACAAATCAAAACAAACCAAACTAAATTAGAACTTGATGAAATTAAACAGATTTCTTCCAAAAACGCTTGAAAGTCTCAGAGAGTAACAATACTTTTCTGATAAACCCTTTAGGCGATATCATACATTGACGGAGTCACATTTAAAGCAAATAGTAAAATTTAAACTTCAACATCTAAAACTAACTATCTGGTTAGTTCAAGTTGTCGTAACACATTAGTACAGCGAAATAAAATCATCAAGATAAACTGCAGAGTAGTAGCAGGAGTAACAGTATTGGTGATAATAGAAAGATTAAGCACGAAAAACATGATGTGAGGAAACATGGATTTGTGGAATTAAAAAACGCCATAACGTAATTTATAAGCTTAGGATCTAAGGGAAAACAAAAAGTAAATGCATCTTTGCCATTGTGAACGATTCTGAGCAACGTTACTCAAAGTCGCTAGCCAGTGATTGAGGGCTCAAATCAGGTAGCCTGTATCTACCTACATGGCTCGGTCTACTGGTCGATGACTATATGGACAAATGACATATTTTGGTTTGACCACCCTTCGCTTTCTTTTCACCTACTCGTATGCCGACGTCATCCATCACGACAGACAGTGGATGAGCATATGTAATACATGACCCAACCATCCTGATCACTATTTCATCAAATCATTTCCTATGCTTACCTGGTACTTTGAGCCTTACCTATTAACTAGGTGATCCCGACATTATTATTATTATTAGTGGCTTTATTCAATATTATATTTTTGGTACAATATAGAATTCTCAGCACAAAGTTTTTCAACAAGTTTCTTTTTCTTATTTCTTGATCAGTTCTTGCGATAAATATTGAGTGGACGCCACTTAGATGTTAGCGGTTCAGGAATCGACATCTGATAAATGTATATCCTTTTCGATTCATGTAGCCAGTAACCATGATGTCTCTGACTGAGCTTTTTTGTAACTTGTACAGCGAAATGTCGTAAACATTTCACAAACGCACCTGAATAGGTTATGAGACTAATACGCATAATGATGTGTTAAAACAAACAAGAAAACAGATAACTTGTTGAAATATCCAGATGGCAGGAACAGGTAGCACAGATATTCAAGCAGGCCGCCTGATACATGCAAGAGCAATGTTTGGAAGGCATATGCGATCTAATATTAGTATCTTATGAATATACTCTATTCCTAATGGTTTTCTCACAGCCGTAAAAGTAGAACGGAGAGAACGGCTGCACAGTATACTCGTCCTAATCGCCTACGCCAAAATGAGGGCGATTCGGAAAAGGCTAATCGAGCTTTCTGAATTCATGCCAAGATTTCATCAGACACTAAACCATCAGGAGTGACAAAATTTCCATGATAAGAGAAATGATCAACGAACTCAGTTAATTTACTCCCCATCCATAGTCCGGGTGTTGAAGTAGACTAGTGCTGAAGCAACATATGGAGTATACACTCATATTAACAACATCCAACTTCATATTAACGCCTTTTTAAACAATAAACAACTGTAAACTATATGAGAACATTGGATGAGACTTACCCAAATGAGAATATACGTGTCGGTTTCCAGTGTGAAACTACAGCAGCATATAATCCTACTACAAGTGCTGCTGAATCGAATAACATATGAAAACCATCAGAAATTAAACCTAAACTATTTGTCCATACACCATAGAAAAGTTCCACAAATGTAAAAGCCTGAAATTGAAATAAAATCTCATCTGTTAGAATGAACGCTAACGTAAGAATAGCTAAAGCAAAACAAAATTCTGAATAACTTTGATGGGGTTTCGTTCTGAGCTGGATGGTTTAATCGTGAGACATTCATCACTCTTCTGATCATCAGAGCAAAATTCAGATAAGAGTATGTCATTCAAATTTCTCCGCATATGACTGACAGCTTGTTCTAACGACTCTGATCTTGGTTGGTTGTTGTTGACCTTAACATGTTGTTGTCTGTACATTTGTTTTAACTGTTTCTCTCTTTGACCTGATTGTTGATCCGATATTTGTTCATGATTTCTCTAAATGGTTGATAAATTTGGTCGATTTCGATGCGTTTACAAATTGCTCATTGACCTGAATATCAAGCTTCTAAAGCTTCTCTGATCATCTTAGTATTTCTTCTATCCAAAATCTCAACATTTTTACATTCCATCAAATTGAAAGCACGCTTCAGTTAATCGTTTTTGACAACGAATGTGCCATCCACATAATGAATCCACAGTTTCAACTTGATCACTGCTAGAGTCCATACTTCCAGTCTCCGCAGAGACTATCCCAACTGCTGCCTTATAAATACCAGTATAGTTAAAGATCGTTTACTTGAGAAAAAAATAGTATTTCGCGATTCAATCAGTTAGTGAGAAGATTTAAGTTTTCTTTACAACGCGATTAAATGATATCATCAACATAAATCCCCTATTGATATCCGACAAATCTCAAAAATCTCTCCAAGTTCAGCATAATGATAACCTTTTCTCATTTGCAGTTTATGTGAATCAAGACAAAACGAATGTTTAAACAACTCGTATTAGATGGGTCCATCACATATAAAACATTTTCATATAAACAGGAATCCGTATTGTAAATGTGATATGAAATACAGAAAATTTTAAAGAAAAGAATGCAGCTGCACTAAGTACCCCATTTGAGGAAGTGTTAAGGATAGATTTTCACTATGGACCGCTTTCATGTATATTAGCCAACTCACTTGTTCTTTAACAGTAGATTATACAGAGCGTGCACTTTCCAAACAAATATCCCAGCACTACTTTTTATAGCCATCTAAAAGAGGGTGCATGTCAGTCAACAACTCAATTCACAAAAACACATGGTTAACACTAGTCCAGAATAGCTATCGAGAGCCCCCAAATGCCCTGGTACGGCCGAGAGTGGGGAGACTCCGCTCTCCCTCTCGAAATGCTCTCACATGGCCATGCGTATATAGCCTCTGCCAGGGAAGTCCTACTCACTGCCTTCTCGTGGCGGGGTTGTTGTTTACGAAAATGAGAGGACGGAAAGCGAATTTCCGGCGCTTTAACCGGACCCCAAACCAATGGTGCACATGGGCTCCAGTATCCTGAAGGATCAAATGGCGTATGAACCAATCGTTGGTCACCGGCTACCATGGGACTGCATCTCCTCACGATGCTCCACTGCCTTGTGGATCAGACCTTTAGGTCGAAGGCTCGGGGTGTGGTCCCCTAAGAAAACCACCTGCTTCGGTTTGGGCACCCGGGCAGTATCACAGCCCTCACACAAATCAATTGAGATTCGTGTGGCGCATATGTACTTGGTGCCTCCTTGTACCTATACCTATGTGTTAAAATAAATAAATAAATAAATAAATAGCTATCCAGATCATCATCACCTACAAAGTCGAAGAAATGAGCTCAAGGGGTAGTTCTGATTTTAAAAAATGTGCGCAGTTGAGAGATTATTCATTCACCAAATTTCCTTCAATTAATCATTTCATTTTAACTCCGCCTGTAGCTCTCCTAGAGTTACTGCCGGTCCCAAGCCCGGGTAAAGGAGGAGGGTTGGGCATGGGGTTAGCGTCCTCATCCCGTAGAAAACTAACTCGCTAAAAAACGCTAACCAGAAAAAATAACTCAAACCATTTAAACTCTGTCCTGGGAGTTAGAAGGTCTTCATTTAGAAGAAATATGACGCCTCAGGGTGAAAGCCGAGTTCCTTCGGAAGCCATGAGGCCGATGCCCCTTCCAACAACCAGAGCAACAATTTTTATAGGTACATGGAACGTCCGGACAATGTGGGAGATCGGGAAGACCAGTCGAATAGCAACGGAAATGAGGATATACAACTTGGCAGTACTGGTAATCAGCGAAACCCATTGGACCCAAGCTGGACAAAAAAGGCTAAATACGGGAGAGATGCTGCTATACTCCGGTCACGAAGAGGAAAATGCTCCACACAGTCAGACAGTTGCTCTAATGCTGTCCAAAGTAGCACAAAATGCACTTGTAGTATGGTAATCTCACGGATCCAGAATCATCAAAGCATCATTCAAAACAAAGAAGGAGGGGATCACAATGAACATTATTCAATGTTATGCACCCACAAACGATAGCAACGACGACATAAAAGATCAATTCTATGAGAGGCTGCAATCAATCATAGAGAAGTGCCCAAGAAAGGACCTCACCATTCTGATGGGAGATCTAAACGCCAAAGTCGGAATGGACAACACCGAATATGAAGACATCATGGGACTACATGGACTGGGAGAGAGAAACGAAAACGGGGAAAGATTTGCAAATCTGTGTGCATTCAATAAATTGGTCATAGGCGGTACAATATTTCCACACAAACGTATACACAAACCTACATGGATCTCACCGGACCACACCACACCACAGAGAACCAGATAGATCATATTTGCATCAATAAAAAGTTCCGAAGGACAATGGAAGATGTGAGAACCAGGAGAGGACCGGACATAGCTTCAGATCACCACCTAGTTGTGGCCAAATTGAAACTGAAGCTAAAGAAGAACTGGACAACTGGACAAACAGCGCTGCAAAGGTTCAATACAGCCTTCCTTCGAGATACTGACAAAATGAATTCAAGTTAGCTCTCAACAAAAGGTTCCAAGCCCTACAGGATCCACAGAAGGAAGAAGAAACTACTATGGAGGATAACTGGAAAAGTATCAAAGAAGCATTAACTTCAACGTGTCAAGAGGTTCTGGGCCCCAAGAAGCATCATCACAAGGAATGGATCTCTATAGAAACACCGGACAGGATCAAAGAAAGGAAGAACAAGAAGACAACAATTAACAACAGTCGAACACGAGCAGAGAAAGTCCAAGCAGAAGATGAGTACATAGAAGCAAACAAGCAAGTGAAGAAGAGCATTAGAGCCGACAAGCAGAAATACGTGGAAGAACTAGCGACGACGGTGGAAAAAGCTGCAAGAGAAGGAAATATGAAACAGCTTCACGATACAACGAAGATTTATTTATTTATTTTAACACATAAGTATAGGTACAAGGAGGCACCAAGTACATATGCGCCACACGAATCTCAATTGATTTGTGTGAGGGCTGTGATACTGCCCGGGTGCCCAAACCGAAGCAGGTGGTTTTCTTAGGGGACCACACCCCGAGCCTTTGACCTGAAGTTCTGATCCACAAGGCAGTGGAGCATCGTGAGGAGATGCAGTCCCATGGTAGCCGGTGACCAACGATTGGTTCATACGCCATTTGATCCTTCAGGATACTGGAGCCCATGTGCACCATTGGTTTGGGGTCCGGTTAAAGCGCCGGAAATTCGCTTTCCGTCCTCTCATTTTCGTAAACAACAACCCCGCCACGAGAAGGCAGTGAGTAGGACTTCCCTGGCAGAGGCTATATACGCATGGCCATGTGAGAGCATTTCGAGAGGGAGAGCGGAGTCTCCCCACTCTCGGCCGTACCAGGGCATTTGGGGAAGACCAATCACTGAGATTCAGCAACAGCGGAACAGATGGGCAGAGTACTTCGAGGAACTCCTGAATAGGCCGGCTCCAATGAATCCACCGGACATCGAAGCAGCACACACAGATCTTTCTATAGATGTCAATCAACCAACGACGGAAGAAATCAGAATGGCCATCAGACAAATCAAGAGCAGGGAAGCAGCAGGATCCGACAATATACCAGCTGAAGCACTGAAGTCAGACATCGAAGTAACTACATGCATGCTTCATCTTCTATTCAAGAAGATTTGGCAGGGGGAACAAGTGCCGATGGATTGGAAAGAAGGACACCTCATCAAGATTACAAAGAAAGGAGATCTGAGCAAGTGTGAAAACTACAGAGGCATTACACTACTAACAATACCAGGAAAATTCTTTAACAGTGTTAATGAACAGGATGAAAGACGCAGTAGACGCTCAACTTCGAGCTGGATTCTGTAAGGACCGGTCGTGCACAGAACAGATTGCGACACTACGGATCATCGTCGAACAATCAATTGAGTGGAACTCGTCACTCTACATCAACTTCATTGATTATGAAAAGGCATTAAACAGTGTAGATAGGAGAATTTTATGGAAACAACTTCGACACTATGGAGTTCCTGAGAAGATTATCAACATTATCCGGAACTCATACGATGGACTACAGTGCATAGTAGTGCATGGAGGACAGCTGACAGACGCATTCCAAGAAAGAACCGGAGTAAGACAAAGCTGTCTACTTTCTCCCTCCCTCTTTCTTCTGGTGGTCGACCGGATTATGAACACTTCGACATCTGAGGGAAAACACGGCATACAATGGACAGCTCAGAACCAATTAGACGATTTAGACTTTGCAGATGACCTAGCCCTCCAATCGCATACACACGAACAAATGCAGATAAAGACAGCCAGCATAGCAGCAGTCTCTGCATCAGTAGGCCTCAACATACACAAAGGGAAAACCAAGGTCCTCAAACACAACACGGAGAACAGCAATCCAATCACTCTTGATGGCGAAACTCTGGAAGATGTGGAATCCTTCACATACCGGGGAGGCATCGTCGATAAACAAGAAGGTTCAGATGCAGACGTCAAGGCGAGGATTGGCAAAGCAAGGACAGTATTCCTTTAATTAAAGAACATATGGAACTCAAAACAACTTTCAACTAATATCAAAGTCAGAATCTTCAATACGAACGTCAAGGCAGTTCTACTGTACGGAGCTGAAACGTGGAGAACTACAACAACCACCATCAAGAAGGTACAGGTATTTATCAATAGCTGTCTACGCAAAATACTCATCATCCATTGGCCGGATACCATCAGCAACAGCCTTGTGTGGGAGAGAGCCAACCAGCTTCCAGCTGAAGAGGAAATTAGGAAAAGACGATGGAAATGGATACGACATACATTACGGAAATCATCAAACTGCATCACGAGGCAAGCCATAACTTGGAATCCTGAAGGGAAGCGGAAAAGCGGAAGGCCAAAGGACACATTACGTCGGGAAATAGAAGCGGATATGAAAGGGATGAATAAGATTTGGAAAGGATCGCCCAGGAAAGGGTTGGAATGAGAATGCTGGTGAGCGGCCTATGTCCCTTGACGAGGAGTAACAGGCGTAAGTAAGTAATCATTTCATTTTGTGATATGACTCCAGAAATATAAAATGTTTCGATGTTACAGCAATTGGGATTGGGAACAATAATAAATAATCGTTCAGATCAAAATAGTTAATTTGATATTTGATCTTATTCATGACTATTCGAGTCAACTACTGAGATACAGTGTCGAAATGTTATGAAGTGAAAATAATCACTAAATACAACTGATTTCTAATATATCAACTAGTGGCTGTAATAATTAAAGCGCTAATGATAAACACTTATACTTCACAAATTATAAGGTCTGAAAACAGGCAAACACTACATGGTGGGTTAGGGACAGTAGTCAATTGTACAACATACCAAAAAAGCAAAGTTCTTACTAGATTTAAACACAAGAACGCGAAAATACGACGTGAAGCCTTTCCAGTTAAAATGCCATGAAAAGTAGCTCGTAAATGATACCACACACCAAATCCTTCTGAATTCGCTAATAAGGCAGTACCGTGTGTAGGTGTTTGTCCAGCAGTAAATAAAGGTAAACCAGCCATTGAGTAACCAATAAAATGACCACTTGAAATGCCTTCTGGACCATGACCAGATTTATCTGCAGTTAAAAGGTCTGAAGCTTTATTCAAATAAAAAAGTGAAATTAAGAATATAAATTTTTATTAAGAACAATAAGTTACAAATTATTTGTAAAACCAGACAACTTATCTTAATGGTTTGTCAGAGACTACTACAATTTCATGAGCTTTCTTTCGAAAAGAATAGAAACTTATTCCGAAATATTATCGCACAATAACTTTAAAAGGGCCAGTAGTTGTTTGAACTACATTCTCTTTAGAGGCACTTTTAATGGCTGATCATGATTCTACTAATGTGTTCATCAATTTGACAAAGTGTAACTAGCTAAAAAAATGTCTTCTCTACAAGATCCAACTATATTGTTAGTTATAGATTTTCCAAAATCAACTAAACTTGATTACTCTGCAAGCATTTCACTGAAGAAAAAAAACGAAACGACTGATTCAACAAAAATAATATAAAATTTATTACTATAAATCAGTGACCAAGTACATATTTATCCAGTTGGTTTGCATAAGCACTTAGTTTTGTAGTTCTGATGATAGTACTTGCTAGCTCATATTAATTAAGGTAGAGTAGCGCAACATATAGAGTAAAGTGCTTTGAACTCCAATGCGGAAGTAAAAATCACTATCAAAGATTCAATGTTTCTATAAGCAGTGATGTATGCAAAATTTACAAGATTGATGTATACTAAAAAAACTGACGATTGATTACGTCATGTATTTTTACGTCCCGACCGTAGCTGCTACCTTGACGTGGTGGTCGGGCTTGCCTATCGTGATGACCCAACCAAGCTATATTGGCTGGAACATATGTTCCTGTAGGTTCTACCATGCCAGGCAGGTCGATTGGAGAACGGTAAGACTAAAAGCAGCAACTCGAGGTCTGAGGGCGAAGTCGTACTGCTGACTGTACAGAGGTGTGACAGCAGTAAGATGTTTCCCTCGGACAACCAGCATCTGCAGCGATGCTGCCTTCTCACAAGGAAGGAAGGGGTTAGAAAAGGTTGACCCTGAAAATGTCACACCTCACCTTACCCCACGGATTTCCGTCTCCGGCGGTAGGGCCCTTTGAAGAACGGAGCTAACACATTAAAAACCTCCCACAAAAAGGCCGTGGGCGACCGGCCTCAAGCAGTTGTCCCTTGGGCTCTGCGGTCACGCATCCAGGTCGCTAAGACCAGCACTAATCCGATTTCTTTTTCAGGTTCCTCAAGAAATACCCTTCCACGGTGTGGGCGATTGGGAAGTGACATCAGCCTTCATACCCGTAACAGCACACGAGACCAAGTTGGTCACATTCAAATCCTTCCTACACTTCCTAATAACTCTCTTATCTCCACGACCAACCCTTCTCACATCCCTTTATCACCACCCCGTCGTTTCTGCCTACTCTCCCACTAACTGCAGCTCAGATAATGTAAAAGATGAGTTTTACAGAAAGCTTTCCGACCTTCTCAGAAAAGCTAGGCGCTCTGATGTAGTAATAGTGGCTGGTGACTTCAATGCTCAACTAGGTAAACTAAGCGAAGGGGAAAGACACCTGGGTGAATCTCATGGTGTTGTGGCTCAAAGAACAGATAATGGCGACCGTTTGTTGCAGCTATGCTCAGATAACCTCCTGTTTCTTGCAAACACTAACTTTAAACATAAGGAAACACATCTTTTGACATGGCGACCCCCTAGTTTGTCCCAACGTTAGACCCGAATAGATAACATCGCTATCAGCCACCGATGGAGGGGCTCGATAGAAGACTGTCGCTCATTCTGGAGCACATGCTTAGACTCAGATCATACTCTAGTGCTAGCGCGTTTTTGTCTACGTCTTACTGGATGTAGGGAACATGGTGCAAGGAAACCCCTTAGGGTCCTACTTAATGATAGTCAGCTAAGAGTAGCGAAAGCAAGAGAGATAGAAAAGACAGCGGCAATAGGTAACAGCAGACAACTGCTCAGACTTGTTAAGGAAACCTGTATTAGGAACCCAACTGTTAGCGAAACAATCTCAGAGAAAGATGGACATATTATTCATTCTCAATCCAGGAGATTGGATCGATGGGCAGAACACTTTAGGGATCAGTTCAACTGGCCTTCAGCCACACTTCGGTTTCCCACGATCTCCAGTCTACCTGAATGGCAAATTAATGTAAGTCCTTTGACTCTTTACGAGGTTGAAAATGCTATAGGAAATCTGAAGCGTGGGAGAGCATCAGGCCCTGACAGGTTTACCCCTGAGATTTTTAGTGATGGCGGTCCCGTATTAGCAGCAAGACTGACTGAGGTCTTAGGTAGAATCTGGGAATTGGTCTCAATCACTGATTGTGCCAGTCTATAAGAAAGGACAAAAGTCCTCTTGTGACAATCACAGAGGAATCAGTTTGACTAATATAGTGTCTAAAATATTAGCTTCAATATTACTTCGACGCCTAACCAAAGCTCGTGAAGAGCAGACTAGAGAAAATCGGGCTGGTTTTCGACCAGGACGTGGTTGTATAGATCAAATATTCACACTACGTCAGGTCCTAGAACATAAACACACATTCAGATGCCTCACAATGGTAGTATTTCTCGACCTTAAGGCGGCATTTGACTCTGTCGATCGTGAGTTTCTGTGGCAGTGTTTGTCACTGAAAGGAGTACCAAAGAAGTACATTAACCTTATAAAGGCTCTCTACTCGAACACAACTAACTGGTCGAGTGAGAGCTTATGGCGAACTGTCATCAGAACTGATTACCTCAAGTGGTGTTCGTCGGGACTGTCCACTCTCTCCATTCTTGTTTAACTTTGTCGTTGACGTTCTTTTAGAGATAACACTTTCCACATCTGAATTTCCAGGGGTTGAACTTCTACCGGGAAATTCACTTTTTGACCTAGAATATGCCGATGACATAGTTCTATTTGGTGAAGACGCTGACAGAATGCAGAGTCTGCTGACCACTCTAAGCAACAATGCAAGCATGTTCGGCATGCGATTTTCTCCCTCGAAATGCAAAATGCTGCTTCAGGATTGGGTTGCATCGGCACCTGAACTAGTGATAGGGAGTGAAGTAGTTGAGCGTGTCGACCGCTTCACTTATCTTGGAAGTCTCATCAGCCCTTGTGGTCTGGTGTGTAAAGAAATCTCAGCACGGATACAGAAGGCTCGATTAGCTTTTGCCAACCTACGTCATTTGTGGCGTAGGCGAGATATCTGTCTATCAACCAAAGGACGTGTTTACTGCATAGCAGTTCGTTCCATCCTACTTTATGGCAGTGAAACATGGCCAGTAAGAGTAGAGGATATTCTTAGGTTACTAGTATTCGACCATAGATGTCTTCTAAACATTGCTCGTATATCCTGGGACCACCAAATAAGTAATGCAGTTGTTAGGAAACGGGTACTAGGTAAGGATGGCGAATCAACTGACGAAGTAGTGAAACTTCATCAGTTGAGATGGCTGGGACATGTGTTACTTATGCCCGACCACCAACTGCCTCGACGTGCGATGTTTTAGAGTGTAGGAGTAGGTTAAAAGAAAGCTAGGGGCGGCTAGACCAAAACATGGCACAAATCCATGAAATCACTGACAAGTGGACTGAGCCATGATGGTAGGTGTAGACTACCTGGTTGGGGTCCGCGAGACGATAGCAACCGATGGTTAGAGATCTTGAATGACATGGCTGAAAATCGTTTGCAATGGCGCAGGTGCATCCACTCTCTGTGTTCTCTCAAACTCTAATCTTCTGAGTTCTTCATGTCCTTTATTTTCTTTCCAAATCTATTCCACTGGACTATACTCCTTAAATAACATCATCAAACTCTAATGTTCCCTATCACTACCTCTTCCACTACGGGATTTGAATCGATAACTGAATCTCTGTGCTAATGTGGTATGGCAACTCGAACCGATGTACGTACGTACGAAGTTCCACGTTGTTACTGACTGACTGACTGACTTTTACGCGGTTTTTTGAAGCGGATTTATTAAGATATTCTATGCGTCTAATTATAGTCTTGTGAAGTATCAACCTAATGTTCAATTTAATTTAAACAAATTGGAATTCGAAACCTATATGTATAGATCGTAATAGTAGTTCTTAATTAATGATAAACAATAATAAAACATCAATTAAAGGATAATTACAATCCATAATAAACTCATAGAGTGAAATCTATTCACTAGGTTTCTCTTCAGTAAAATATGACAATCTGGCTTAGTTTAGTTAGTTGTTAGAAGATAAAGTGTAAGATTATGTATCATTTCATTCAGTACAAAACCTATTTTTATAATATTTGTTGTACGTATTCAGTGTGGTATTTCGTTATGTATTAATCCAGCGTGAACTACACTGATAAATAATCAATACAGGTAAATATTGTGCATAAATGAAAGTATTTGTAACTACTGGATGAGGAATGGTTTAGTTTTAAATTACGAAATCAATCTTCAATCATCAGGATTCTTTGTCTTTTCCCTTGCATTAATCCATGTCAATCTTAGCCCAAATTATAACAGACAAGATAAACTTGTCCTGAGCTCAAAAACAGACAGTTATCACTTGGTGACAGCAAATAATCCTACAGGGAGTTGATCTCAGACTTAGTGGAACATCAATGACAATTGTCAGATCTATAATACCCAGATACGGAAAGTCTGAGTTGAGAAATGTACCATTTCCCAAGACTAAGCTAAAATCAGTCTAAATAAACAATTTTTTTGAACGCTGTTCTCATATTTTAAACTTCACGCATGCAGTTAAACTTGGAGTACTGAAACCTCCATGTTAAATGACTAGTTTTCAAGAACAAACTGGAAGTTTTCATAAACATCAAAGCGTTTTTTACAGTAACACTGACGGTTGGAATAGTAATAAAACGTTTACATTCTTTTATCTTTCCAATTGTTTTGGAGGATGAGTCAAGGAGTTATTGAGAGTATGGTACAAGTTCGATACTTGCATTCCCTATTGTGTAGTTAGTTCGAGTTGTGTAGTTCCAACCAGGTCATAACAATGTGATTAGATATAAACCACAAAACAAGTATAGCAGTAGATACTAAATATGAGGAATACAATAGCTTACCATATAAAATACAAACGACTGAAACAATTACTCCAACAGACATTTGATGTTTAAGTAGGAAACTGTTTACAAGAACCTCATTACGATCTGATGAAAGAAATTGTTCTACGGAATCTGAAGATGGCCAGAAAAGGCTAAAAATGGTATTAGATGAGATATGTAATGTTTGCTTTTGAATTATCGACAATGAAACTTAGTAATTCAAGTAACCAGAAAGTAATTATAAATAAGCGACACTCTAATAAGGAAAATCAATTCCAAAAATCGATTCAAAGATAGCCTAAGTTAGAAGTTAACGACGAAAAAAAAAAACAGATCCATAATGTATTAACAAAAAGAAATTAGAATTTGTGCTAATAAATTATACAATCAAAATATCAATCAGAAAGAGTTCAACATCCAAGTACATTAAAATATCTTTAAAAATATTTTGAAATCGATAACAACTGTAACTTATTTCAATCAGTTATGCTTTACATAACTTTTTCGTCATCATGTAACTTGTACCTGACGTGAACCTGACACAAAGGAACAGCTTAACTAGAATGTTAACAAATCTTTAATATAAAGATGATTTGTTTCACTTAATAATCCGTTTAACATGGTATTTTTCGAATAATAATAATAAACGTTTACATCTAGACTTCTACTTGGTTTAATTAATTTTACAACTGAAAGATCAATCGCTGGTAATAGTTCAAATGTGTGGAAATAAGAAATAAGCAATTACGACATTTTGATCAAATAAAACGTCTTTGAAATGTTGTTGCTTCTTTTTCTTCTAAACAGTTGGAAAATGAAACTCTCTCAAGAAAAATTTCACCAAAAAACTACTGGTTCTGTAACTTTAAAGGTAATAAAAAAGAATCTTGTCTAAAAACTAACTAGATTTCAAACATTTTCAATTACTATCTCTTATTCAGTAAATTTGGATTTGTAACTAAAGAACAGTATGGAGTGTACATATAACAACAGAGACTGATCATTTGCAGTCGTGAATATCAACAATAGGAAAATACAAAGCCTTGATAATATTGCCTTTTTTCCCTAATTTTAAAAGGACAATAATCGTTCATATGTTGATTAATGAGAATTTGAAATCTTAATCTTTTAGAAGCTATAAGTAAAACTTTTTGGTTGTTTATTGCCTTTTTATGTATTTCAAAATGATTAGTCAGCATCACGATATCCACATCTTCTTTGGTAATGATTCACAGATATAGTTAATTGAAATTTAACCACAATTACGAAGTCAGTTTGATTGAGGTCATTTAATTGAGGGGTAACAACGCAATACTAGTGTTATACAAACCTATCAGATTGTTTACCTTTATGTAACGCATTTAAATCCATTCAAACTTTGATCCAATTAGATCACTGAAATGACGAACCGATCTAAGTCTGACAAACGCTGGAAACCTGGCCGTTTCGTTTTAGTATGGCACTCCTCAGCAGTACGCATCTACGACCATTGGGTCTCGTGTCAGTGATCTAGAGGTTAAGAGTTCACTCGCGAGACCGAGATTCCCTGATTCAATTCTCACGCGTGGAGTCCTAGACGCGTACTGATGAGGAGTGCCTCACTGGACGAAACGGCCATCCAGTGCTTCCAGGTTTTTAATGATGGTCTAAATAAGATCGGTTAGGGATTCCAACAAAATTCAACAATTTCTACAACACAAACTGATAAAGGATTCTCATTTCAACAGCTGGTCTAAATGAAGCTATGAATTAATCTTTTCACTGACACATCTTGAGTAGATAAAGAAAAGCATGAACAACCTCACAAGTTTTGTGTCAGTAGAACAAAGCTTCGGAAAAATTCCAATACGTAGATTGGTTCAAACGTTTTATTTGAATTAGTTTAGAAAGACTCACAAAGCTTTATGAACGAAATATGAAGGTCGGAAATCGCAATATTCTAAAGTGTCCATAGCCAACAAACAAAATATAGACTTAAATGCATACTATGGATCATAAAAATGCTTCGCAATGAACATTATGAAAGTTAGAACAAAAATAGAAGCTAGTCGGACAACCTGAATATTAGGCTAGTTATAACGACGGTTAGTTTAGCAAGACGAGTCACTGATTGAGAACCAAGTCGCCCGCTAACCAGACTGGTCATATAGAAATCGATTACATGCACGATGCTTATATAAACCATCCAAAATAGCCAATCTCTTTGTGGGATATTTCCGGATGATTCAAGAGAAGGCATTTGGTTGTTAACATTTTCTACCATCTTCAAAAGATTTAATTGTTCCTGTGGGACAAATAAAATAAAAGCCAACAACAACTAAGTATTATATTTAGTTCTACTCATAGTACAGATATAGTGTATTTTAAAATGTAAGTAGTTGAAAAGTAATAAAAGTTGATGCTGAATTTACTCGTCTATACATAAACATTTAGATATGCAACATGATAACTATTAAGCTTCCTTGTTGGAGTCCATATTTCGCTCATCAACAACAAAACTGACGAGACAACTAAGGTGAGCGATTTTGTCAACGCAGTTAATTATTTGGCTTAAAGTGGAACTAGACTTCAACAAATGTTACACTTCATACATGAGAAAAACATTATGTCACAAAATATCCTTCAAAACATGGAGTTCTGACGGTGTCTTTGTCTAAGAAAGCATTTATCTGAATACTTAGAACCGATTAAAGTATCGAATTCGTTCGAGACTAAACGCATTGCCGACCTATCCTCTCAGCAAGTGTAATTATTTATCTTTTTGAAGTTTATCGGCACAAATGGCTGATTTTCTTAAGACGATGAATATAACTCAATTTTAAGAGTGAATCGTCCCGTCGTTGGTATAAAGGATGACAACTGACCCGTTTCCTTTAGGGTATGTGCATCATGAGCAACTCGCCTTAATGTTGCCACTAATCAAAAACACAGTTGGGTAGTGGCTTGAAGTGGAATCCAAGATGTGCATTCCATCCTGATTGAAACTCATCAGCTGAATGTTCCTCTATTACAGTGTTGATGTTCACTCCGCGACACCAAGAATTGAAAGATTCAAACCCTTGGAATTGAATTATAATTCATACCCGTTGTACGTGCCAGTGGCTATCTGCATTCAGTAGATAAGTGGATAACGCGTTAGCATGTGAAGTAAAATGCACTGATTTTGAGTTCTGGAGTAAATATTAAAACTATGATACAGGTAAATTCAGTCGGATAGTTCCGAATGGGATAAAAAACGGCTCCTAGATTCTGTTGCTAACCACCATCCAACCATGAATACGTAACGGATAAATTGTGAAAGTGACATTGTGCTTAGATGAAAATCAAGACCATATAGTTTCATTCGTAAGGTATGATAGATGACTCGTGTGGTTGTTTCACAAACATCCTGTCCGCTGTACATATCAGTTGAATGATCTATTATAAGGATTGCGATAAATTATTTCAACGAACTGTACATTTTTAAAATTATATATATATATATATATATATATATATATATATATATATATATATATATCCTGTTGATGAATGGGTTGATGTTCAACAAATTTTATAAAGTGAAAACGACTTTCTGAATGTACTTCAAAGTGGATCACGGGGTTAGAACGACTCCCTTAGCATTAAACACTGAGTCCATCAAAATCGAGTCCTTTTGCATAAAATTTTAACTAATTAACAATGAAAACTCGGTACACTTAGAGCTAACCACAAAAATTTAGAAAAAGAGGAGGAAATTAAACAGAAGACACAATAAACCTTTTCTACTGGAGCTTTTCCGTGTAAAATATGTATCCGTAAAAGAGATAATGATAGGTTTCGTATCCCCATGGAAATCAATGGATAGTGTAAAATCATAAATCATTCTTCCTTTTGAACTTTAATGGGTCATGTGGACCACTGGCTCCCAATCACAATAGCACAAATTCCCTAAGCAGATCTTTTGTGTAGGTCAATAAAAATTAGTCCCTCACACATGCTTTTGCCAATCTTATTGTTGTGAAAAATATACAAACCACGGAAAGCAATCAATACAAATCTATTGGTATATGCTTTGTGAAAGCCATCATAAGATAAAGATAAGGTTCGATAATATCTAGATACTCTGAGGGACTAGCGAACTCATACCTAATTACGAAACATTATAAGGATATGGCAGGATTTATGAAGACAAATAAAGGAATTCAAAATATATACCCAATTACCTTGGTGTGAAGGGAGTTTTCATTGAAGAAGTGAGTAAGAATAAAAAATGGAATCAATATGACGAAGCTGATTAACGCAGAAAGGCCGTATAAACGTTTGGAACCTCCAATAGATGTTACTAACGTCCTAGAAATTGAAGCTAGCCCGGAGTCCAAGCAAACCGCACTAATTAGGACAGCAACACCAACCTTTTGAATGGAAATAAAATCGACTGATGATAGTTTAAAGTTAGCTGACAAGCAAAACATCCTGCTACTGTTACATTTTTATGAGTATTTGTCGCCTTAGTCAAAGGCAGTATTATACATTAACAACTGGCCACATCAACTCAAAACCTGATAATGCGCGGTTTGAGACAGCCATATTAAACAACAAAATGCCCACGTGACCTATGTTCACAACCAATAAAACTCCCCAACAATGAGAATAATGGATATATCACATAAGGGGACCAGGTATCTGTTAAAATGATTCCTATTCATGTATTTCATTAGAATCAACTACTAATAACTCTCCAAATATGTGCAGTTTTATACATGTCGTCAATACCATTAAAGAAACAAGGTTAAGTTATCTCTGCTAAGGTAGAAGTGATATTTAGTTTGTTTAGCAGAAGAGATGACTTAGTGGTTAAGGCGTTTGGGCTCCAGCCACTCAGTTTCAGGTTTGAACCCCGTCCAGCCTACTAAGGTTTGGGCAACTGGACAGTATCATTAGCTTTCACACTGAAAGTGTAGTTCATACACAAGTGCTTGGTGAATGAGTTTATTTTTATTTATTTGTTTGCGTTAGAATCAATTGTAATGGCGTAGATGATTCCACTTTGTCTTCTCTTAGGTAACTAATTTTCAAGAATAATTTGTATTTTTTTATTCTGCAGATTTTAACTCTCTTTTGGATTACACTGTTGATGCTGGATCTTTTTTACTATCACTGACGATAATGTTAGTTCCATTACTTTATCTTGACTACTCCATTTCGGTGTACATCACTTCTGAAGCGTCAATACTATGCCCATCGGTACAAGAAACCCACATTAAATAAAAACGAAACGCCAAAATAACCCCAACGTTTATAAGCTGATTCACCAATAACCAACAGAATACACCGATAGTTTTAGATCTCAGCACTAGTCCTCACCAATATACTTAATCCAACTAAGAACCTCGGACAAACAAGTAAAAGTTAAAATTACTGTTTAGTGGAGTGATCTATTAATACGAATAGGTAAAAACGGAAACAAACACCATCGAATAAAGATAACCAGTTGAACTTTCGATCTATCAACCTGGTAATCAAGGAGATAGTTGAAGTGAATAGTACACAAAATCGTAGCAATAATCTTGTTTTACGGTGATGAATATCAGAATATTCGTTTTAACTTTATTACATAAAATAAATCTCACATTAGAAGTACACATCACTTTTTTTAGAGAATTCGCGACATGCACGTAAAATAAGTCTCTTACCTTGTGATCTGAGAGTCCGAAGTTTACAAATAATTCATATAAATGATGGATTAAGAAACTTTTATGAACTCCTTCAGCTACACAATATTAGAGAAAGGAGTTAAAGGAAAATATCGACGTATACGCATAAATACAAGTGGCTTGCGAAAAATATCAATCACTCAAGGATCAAATGTTACGCTTAGAAATTGTCAGGACAGTGAGACTACCTGAAATCTCTGAATAAAACGATATAATCGAAACAATTGTTGTGGAAACACAGATATGCTGTATTGTTTGAGGACTATTCAGACTGAAATGAAGCATCGTCTTTTAGCTGTAAATATATTACATCATTCCAGCGTAAACTACGACAATATCCATCCTATACTATATGACACAATCGTGGTTATACCAAATTTTGAAACTTCCGGTGCTAAATTTTAGCGCAGCACAGTACACTACTAAATCTGTCTGTATGTCCACTAACGGAAGTGCATAAAATCTTGACTGATACTCACTCAATAAATTGACATCAACGTTGACAACTATGTAGCAGCGCACTTAGCATCAACAAATAGTGAACGACGTTTATATAATACATTCAATAACATAGGAGCTTGGACAAATAAAATGGCTGACTGAGCTATTATAACATTGAACTGTGCACTTCACATACACAAGAGCTCACATTTTGGAATAAAAAAGTCCCCTAACGTGAATGTCAACCGTGAAACAGTCAGTTATCCCAAGTCCTACTTAACGTAATGAATTGCTTTTCGAAACAATCTTAACGAATTGCTAAAACAATATTAAAGAATAAATATTTTACCACTAAGTAAAAAATGTAATGAAAAGGATACGATGCTCCGCCTCCCCATGACTATAGTCATGGTCGAAAAATACCAAACATAGTACACCAATCACAAAGAATACTGACCCTCGAGTCTACAAATGATCAAGTTTAAAGTTTAAGATACTAACTTTTTTAGTGCAGTGGGACCCGAAGATAAATGTACCAACTGAAGCAAGAATTAAAAGTTCGCTGTGCTCGAACAACAAAATGAACCTGAAAATAAGAACTCACTAAAATTTTGTCACCTGAAGGGACCACAAAGAATAAGTCCCTCTATCCAAAGTGCATCAATAAGAAGCCGGACAAAAGAGAACTTTAGGATATGAAACCACTAGAAATAAACAGCGAACAGGTAATGAACAGACCTCAGTAATCTTCAATTTAGGTCCACTAAAAGGTTTCTGTAGTGGCACCATAATAAGTAATGCACTAGAATTGATATATGGTAAATCTATTGACAAGCTTACGTAAATTTTAAAGCAATTAATATAGTGAGAGGATTAGAAATCTTTAACAGTTCATATGTAGCGTAAACAGATATCACTTTTAGTAGTTTAATGACAGCTAAAACCACCAGAAGAATTTCCATCCTTAAAAGAAACTATATCAAGGTGTATACACCAAATACCTTCTTCCGCGGTATGATAAATTATTAGAATGAAAATCCATTCTGTTCAACATCGCGCCTTCCCAAACGATCGCGTCAACCGACCTTGAGGTTATAAACGCTTTGGTGTGGTTTTCAGTCCTCAATAATAAGGATGGGAGGTCTATCGACCTATATTAATCCTTGCAGTTTGCAACACTGTTCAGGTCCAATCTTGTTTAGAATATATGAACAGAATACGCTAATATTACATGTTCTGGTAGAAAATTCCATTAATGCACTACTCGGTGCGAGTAATGAAACTCCAGACGTAGACGATTTGGTCTCGGTTTTTGAACTTTCTTCGAATATATTCTCAAATGATTAGTCGTAGACGGAAGGGAAAGGTAAGATATATTAATACCACGGTCGTCGTTCAGTATACAATAAGCCAATATTAGATCCCCCCGTATTCTACGGTAAAATAACGGAAATAAGTTAAGGTGTCTCAATGTGTCTTCATAAGATACGCCAGACAGACATTTTGTCACTTCAGTCCCTTGTTGTTGAACCCTACCAGAACATTCGCTTCATAATCGAAACAGGGACTAACTGGTTCAACCCCATATTCTGAATGCGTCTTCACGAATGTCGTGCATAATTACATAAACATTCATTCACCTAAATACTGAAAGGACCTACGAATAGCCTCTTGCAGCAGAAGCCTTTCAGTTACTCGTAGTTTTGGGATTATTGCTCATTATGACTCCTAAATCTTTATAGTTTATTACTTTGTGTAACACGACTCCATTTGTAGGGCCAGTGAAATCTCATTGAGCCTAGCCAAACCATCCGGCAGTTGCGTCATTCGACATAGATTATTTACACACGTATTGTGCAGTGGAATGAATCATCATAGTTATTTAATGGCAACGCCACACCCCTGTTAGAATTCACTTCTGGCGACCATCCGTCCATCCTTACCACCAATGAGTTGAGATCGTCCCGTAATAATATTTTACCACAAAGATCCTACTGTGGCCATCTCAGTCCAACTGATATCAGATGCATCAAAGTCTCCTAATATCAAGCATGTTATTTGCAGTCAATAGCTGAATGGGTCCTAAGGTAAACAGTGACCGAGAGCACAATTGTTATCGCTTAACTTGTGTGCAATAAAAGAGTATGAACGAAGAAAATATTTTTCCTTAGAATTTTGTGGTTGAAAATGGTGACTTTTTTATTTGGATTGAAAGAGTTTGTTGAAGGTAAGTTTCCACGTATGTCGTAGTAATGCTATCCTTCATCTTTTCTTACTGGGAAGAAATATTCAGCCCGTGAAGTCAACCTTCCATAGTTTTAGCCTCCGACCAAGAGCGACCTTGACTAAACATTTCATCATATCATGAAACGGTTGACACAGTTTGAAGAAAATAAAGGTAACAGTATATTGTTGAAAAAAATCCCCAGAATGAATAGTGTTCGACATTGATACCGACCTCAGCACTTTTAATAGACACACCGTAACCGAAGGTGACAACCGTTGGATATGCCGCACCACACACTACTTCCGACAACCGGCCAGCATAGATCACATATCGAGTAACTTCCAAACACGTCTTTAAACACCCTCATTTCCTGACTTCGGATTTGACAGATTTTTTGAGCCCTTATTCATAAAGTTAAAACGGACAGATGTTTTGTCAAACACCAATATCTGTGACATCTTCAACAGTATTGTGCCTCATAAAAAGGCTCAACAAATGCTGTGAACTTCACTTAGCTCTGATGATTTTCCGTGGGAAGAACAAGCTCCGCTATCTACCGGTTCTTCTGTGTTAAAAATGCACTTAGGTAATCAAACTTTGATATAACAATAAACTTCAGTTACTAAAATTGGAAATGAACACAAAGATCCACCTCAACCGAGCTTTAAACGTAGTTACGCGCTTTGATAGCTACCCCATCCCCCACATACACGACATCACGGCATCGCTCAAGCGCACGATTATCTTTTCTAAGATCGACCTGTCACGAGCATATCACCAGATCCTAGTCGCTCTTAAAGATATCGAAAAAACCGCTATCACGACTCCCTTTGGTCTGTTTGAGTTCTCACGAATACTATTTGGATTACGGAATGCTGCTCAAACTTTCCAAATGTTCATCGATAGCATAGTACGAGAATTTGATTTTGTTAACGTCTATATTGATGATCAGCTAACCGCATCATCAAACGTAGATGAACATTATCAACATCTTACACTATTATTCCAACGTCTTTCAGACAATGGAATAGTAGTCGACCCGGACAAGTGTGAATTGGGCAAATCAGAAATAATGTTCTTAGGTCACATCATTAGGCAAGAGGGTATTTTACCTTGCGAGGACAAATTACGTGCTATATGAGAGTACAAAGTGCCGTCCACACTCAAGGAACTGAAGGCTTTTCGCGGTTTGGTTAACTTCTATCGACGTTTCATCCCACACGCGGCAGAACGGTTACGACCATTTACAGATTTACCCCGCGGTAATCCACGCGTATTAGAACTGAACGATGCTGCACGTACTGCATTTTCAGAGATCAAAACGGCTCTTCCTCATCCTGACCCATCAGCCACGCTTAGTGTAGCTCTTTATGCATCGGATTTTGCTATAGGAGCCGTTATGCAACAGAACATCTCCGGAAGTTGGCAACCTCTCGAATTTTTCCCACGACGCCTTACTCCCACGGAGACGAGATCTAACGCTTTTGGTCGAGAGCTGCTAGCAGCCTACTGTCATCAAACATTTCCGACACGCAGTAGAAGGTCGCGATTTCATTTTATTCACCGACCACAAGCCTTTAACGTATACTCTGCATACCAAGCCTGACCGCTACTCACCACGAGAATGCAGACATTTGGACTATATCTCCCAGTTCACGACAGACCTTCGTCACATTAAAGGCGAGTCGAACTATGTTACCGATGCTCTATCACGTATCCAAGCGAATGCAGTTACCTTAACGGTGCTCGATCTTTCTGCTATGGCTGCCGCTCAAGCAAACGATCCCTTTTGTACAGAAGCACCACAATCTACATCCCTTCAGTGCCAGCAAGTACTCCTGGCTACTAGCTCAGGTACTATCCCATATGATACTTCTACCGGTCTTCCTCGACCCATCGTACCCTCTGCCTATCGCCGTCTCGTCTTCGATGCCCTGCATGGACTGTGTCATCCAGGTATCGCAGCTACATTACGTCTCATCGCTGCACGATACATTTGGCCGTTCATGAATAAAGATGTCCGTATGTGGGTGAATCCATGCTTACAATGTCAACGATGAAGGGTGCACAAACACTTATCTGTCCCCATTGGCAGGTTCGTTGCGCCTGATGCTCGCTTCGATCACGTTCATATAGACATCGTGGGACCATTGCCACAATCGCATGTGTATGATCACATACTCACGTGCATCGATCGTTTTACAAGATGGCCCAAGGCTATTCCCACCACGTCTACTACGGCGAAGACAGTTGCCCACTGCTTCTTAGAACGATGGATAGCACTGTACGGTTATCCCTCGACTGTCACGACTTACCGAAGACAACAATTCGAGTCCGCATTATTCTCCTGACTTACTCGGCTGCTTGGTACGGAATGCATATGCACTACCGCCTACCACCCAGCATCAAATGGTTTAGTTTTACGGTTTCATCGCAAACTTAAAAGTGCTCTTGGAGCACACGAAAACGAAAATTGGTACGAAACCTTACCACTCGTTCTCTTAGGTATCAGAACGAGTTTGAAGGCAGATATCCAATGTTACACCGCTGAACTTGTATACGGCACGACATTGCGTCTGCCTGAGGAATTCTTCACACCACGGAGCAGTAACGATTTTGGTAAATTAAACTACGTCCATCGACTGTCTGAATTTATGCGAACACTGCCTCCGGTGTCAGCTCGAATACAACATCGACAGGTAGCTCTCTCTTAGGAGTTATCTACCTGTTCACATGTTTTTATACGAGTAGATTTTGTACACAAGCTTCTACAACAGCTTTACGAAGGACTTTTTCACGTGGTGTCTCGTCACAAAAAGACCTTCAAGGTTGATCGACATGGCCGCGCCAAGATCGTCAGCATTGATCGTCTCATATCAGCACACATCGATGACAGTGCCCCACCCTATAATTTGAGACTCAATGCTAGACCTATCAAACCTTCTAGCAGGATCTCTACGTCTACCTCGGATCCCGCACTAGATACATCAGTGACCTCATTCTCACGTCCCGGTCAACAGCACGCGTCATCTGCACCATCTACGGACGAGACTTCCGTCTCACGTCCAGATAGGCAGACCACGCCGCCCTTGACCTCGGATGAGATTGCAGGCTCACGAAATACGAACGAGACTAACCGCACAATCAACAGCGGATACGGTGTGTGACTATTTCTATACTACACACATGCTTCACCTTTTCTCTTTTTTTATTTTTTGTGTATCCTGAACCCACTCCTCCGACCATCGCCCGTTTGGTAGCGTCCACTTCAGGCAACTTTGGCGAGAGCTGGCTTGATCATCCACATTCTTAACAAGGGATTCAATCGATATTCTGGTTTTGAATCCGTCTGACATATGTTTGGTCTCGCAATTAGTTGTTATGGTCGCTTCTGGTTCCTTGGCTCAATGTAGTTCCGTCCTACGTCTGCAGCGCTTTCTAGTCCGCACCAATACGAACGCAATTAGCAGATCCTGGATGCAAACCACTCTGGTGTGGTACACTAACTCTAGCAACATATACAGCACGCTTCTCTTGATACCGTTCTACGTAAAAGACCTTCGGTGGCAAGTCGAGTGCCAACGATCGCTTCCTGTTCTGCCAACCCTTTCGTCCTACAATCGCACTTTTGCCGACCAGTCCCACGAATGAAACCGCTACGTATCAAAAGTGTAGACCTTTTCTAGCTGGGTCTCCTGTAGTGACCTAATTTTACCAACAGAACGCGATTGATGTAATGGAAGCAATTACTATCATAACCAATCCTACTAGTGATTGTTTTACTGTACTTGTTTGTTTAACTGTACCAAAGACATTCTTCCGTCCGTTGATTGTGATCTTGTATGCGCCTACGTTTGCTCAGTGAATCCTCTTGTACTCCTTAGCACGATCTAGGTACTCTTTCGATATCACGAGATCGCCAACAAATACATCTCGACTACAGCCATCATCTGCCTTCTGATATTGGCCTACGGGGATCTAATTGGTTAATTGGCACGTAGTCTTCTTGTAGTGGTGATCATATTCAACCACGACTCGACGCCACGCTACATTCTAATGAGAAACTGTTACCAGTGGATTCCAATCCGTGTCGAATAGAGACAGTTATCTGTCTATGGATGAATAATTCTGCAGCATCATGGTTCGAATGAAGTTAGACATTAAGACTGTTGGATGTCAGTTGAGTGGTCTATATGTTGAGCGTTCGCGAACGGGGCGGGAATTCCTGGGTTCGAGTCCCACATGCAAGGTCATTGATGTGCACTGTTGAGGAGTCCCATACTGGAGGGAAACCGCCGTTCAGTGTTTCAAGGTTTTTCATGGTGGTCTAGGTATAATCGACGTATGAATTTAATTATAAATCATATGCTTAGCCAACTGTCAAATATTTTATTGTTTCGTGTCTAGGTGAATACTGACTAAGTATTCGCATTCCTTTAACTGTAATTTATTCCACTCATTCTATTTCAAATATGTATATTTTTGTACATTGATTTGTCTTACACATTGGGTTATATGGGGAATTATATCGTCAACATCGTGAGTTCAACTATTAAAAACATTTGTTATTGTTAAGCAAAAGTCATTGACGAAACTACTTCTGAAATATCTCCTTATTAAAACTACTCGCCGAAAATGAATATATAATACTCAACGCCTGACTCCCTAGGTTAATCTTTACAGCCTAACTAAAGTTTCCATTCTACATTCTGCTACCAAGTGGATGCAAGTAACAATTGTTTTAGAATAATTCTCTCTTATATGGTATGCTTTGACAAGTAGTTGTACTGGTTCTAACAATAATCCTCAAAGCTGAACATGAGATAACTGGGTAAATAGACTTTCAACATGCAATATTAAAAGAAGGTTATAAATAGTGAACGCTGGAAGATTCAATTCAGTTCGATCGGAAGGCATGGCTCAGCCTTGCAAGCGTGGTCATTCTTGTGTAGCTTAACTTTTTTATTCATATAGAATATACTCTTCTATCTCCAGCCTAAATGTATTCATCATATATTGGTGATTTTTACGATAGAATGAGTCATTGTGGACAATGACTTTCACGTAAGATCTAGATCTAATAGATTAGGTAGTCACATCATGACATATCTACGACTGTAGGATTCGGTCTATCATTATTATAATACTAATAACGGCATAGACCATAATTTAACAAATATATCAACTAGAGTTTATTCAGTTAATGTTCTCCTTACCTGGTAGTTTGTTTATCGCTCCCACTGCAATCGATTAAGACTTCAGTTACAGCTATTTGGTTGACATCACAAATAAACTAGCTACTATTATCTATGTAAATCAAGTCATCCGAAACATTCATAAGTATCACATCCATAACTCACTGGAATATGGCTGGAATCGGCTTAACCGAAACATCGACGACCAGGGGACTCAAAATTTCTAAATTGCTTTTATGCACTTGAAACATGACATTGCTAGCGCCAGATTTCATAGTCATCTGACAGTGAGTCATTTTTCTTTTTTCTGTCTCGTATGAGCTTCATTCATGTTACCTGTATTCTCATGTGATATCGGAAAACTCGTACCGATGAACGATATGCTACAAGCTAAACCCAACTCACTACTTGGGCGGGAACACAACAGTGAGCGAGAAAGTATGTTGGGGTACCGAAAAAATGCACAAATATTCACTGATACATATGCCACTCTAACCCTCATTAAATTAGTCTATTTTAAAGCTAGTAAGATGGGCATGACCTTTAGGTCGATTCTGACTGCTATCGATTGACTTTCTCACCAGTTTACTTTTAACTAGATAACATATAATTACCAAACCAGTCCATTTGATTGAAAACGAAGTAATCTTATGTCAATTTAACTCCATTCAGATGGTTTCTCAGTATGCAAAGAAGAAAAATGATGTGTATTCTTGTAGAATTCTATATTGTACCACAATATAACATTGAAGAAAGCCATTAATAATAATACGTCCAGATTTGCCCATCCTGTTCTACCTAAATTAAATTCCACTGTTTTGGGAATCACAAGTCACAGAACTAATTTGAATACTCCCAACAATCCTGTAATGCAAATAGCTTGTATCACGAACTAAAACCGCGAAACATCAAGTATGTATATCATTGAAGAAAAAGGAACTAGTTACTCATCAAAAAGGTGTTCGTAATAAACCAGGAACGTATTGCTATTCAGTAGTTCTTGGACAGCTCAAGCAACTGCACGATAGAATGTAAAACCCGATAAACCATGAAGACGGCTTTCAAGATACCGAGTCTAGTAAAACAAGTACTAGAACGGTGAGTAAAATATCATACAACAGGAGTCAAACAACTTAAGAAACGAAATTTCGGCTTAACAATTATGAAAATCATATTTCCAACCAAATATGCACATGAGAAATAAAAACGAACGTAATGGGCAAATTAACATGAAATCTAGGATGAGACAGTATTAATGGGACATTTCTATGATAATCAGGAGAATAAATAAATGTGCCGACTAGGACTTCCCGGAGTAGTGTAATATAAGGATGTGCACTACACTTGGTAGTGGTAACCATATTGACCCAACTCATCTACAGCAACTTGACCACATCTGTGAACCGGAGTGAGACACATGATAGATTAATCAACATCATTATCAATCGGTGTGTACCTATGAACCCTTAAGTCATTTGTTAGTATCCTAATGAAAATATAGCTCATGCGATATACTTGACATCGGTACACAATCGTTAGTGCGAGTCAATCACAACGGAGTACCATTAACATATTTGCTCATTTTAAGAGTAGTATACAACTATTGCTCTACAACTAGACAGATTTTATTCTAAATTTCATCACTTGTAGAAAACTTAAAGGCCGATGCAGAAGACTACGTGATCACATCTATGACTGGTAATTTGAGGTATCGTGCTTGATGTTCTTGAATCCATACGCAACAACTCTCTCTAGTGGTATGGTGCCATCTAAATGCTTTTCCTACCCCATTGCGTCTTAGTGTTACTAAAAAGGTTGCAACACAATATCAGTAACCCATTGGAGACAGTAATGATCAAACTCAGGGAGTTGTCTAATATACTCAAATGGGCTAAGTTTCTTAAACATAAAGCAAAACTAGTCTTACAAGCACTCTGTTGACTCAACCTTTTACAATCATGTTAGTATCATGACGACATCAAAGATGGCCCAGATTGATAACAGCCTTTTCAGCTCTTGCTGCACTTCGATTGATCCTATCAGTCATGTACTTATACGACCCAGAAACATGAACTTCTCGACCACCATGAAGAGCGAGATAAAATACTGGCTCTTGCCGCCCTTATAAAAACAATTTTAATTTAGATACAAAGTACATGTCATACTTACGTAGGACAAGTTGCAAGTGAGTAGGTGCGACTCGTATAGATTATTTACCAACGCAGTAAGACATTTTGACCTGGAAACTTAAGATCGAAGTTTCTGCCAGGCAAACGCGCAGCGAGATACACTCTTCACGGAAAACAGCCAGCACTCATCTATGCATCTCAGTAGATAACCTTGAACCCTGACCGTTTTAGAGATCGGTTGCAGACAAAGTCTTTCAAGTGACCACTCCAGTGGAAATTGATTTTAGTGTGACAATTGAGTCCAGACTCAGATTAACTTGAAAGAAGGCCAAGGATTTCACCATCCATATCGTCTCTGAAAGTCAATTCTGGTTAAAAACATGTCGTGACCTGCAGAAATCTATGGAAGATTGTCACCAGTGTCCGACCTAGTACCAACGAGTCCCTAATGAGCAACCAAGCGATCCTACTCTGTGCCTAGATGCTGTATCAAAACCTTAAGATAGCACTACAATTCCTGGAGTTATTTTGTTGGTGAAATCTCAACGTTGACTGTACCAGAGCATTTGGGGGAACTGAGGCTCGAACCATAAACCTTCTGTTTCGCAAGTCTATGCGTCATCCAATGAACTATTGTTCAAAATAAATAAAATATACCGATGAGGCGTTTGTGCCGGAAAATATATCTTGGAACGGCTACAAAAGTCAATGTTTACTCGAAAGTAACGAAATTTCTAAATAAATCATTCCTTAACAATGTTCCATAAAGAATATATCACACTTGGAAAATAAAATTGTAACAAAAAATGTAAAAACTAGGTAAATGAAAATTCAAATCGAAAGTTAAAATACCACAAATCTTAAGGCATAGAAACATGAACACTAACATAACCGAACATTGAAAACACAAGAAAAAAGCAAAGTACTCAAAGAGAAGAATGATTCGTATATAAATGATCGAATTATGTACAAAAATGCCATAAAAGTAATATACAGTCGGCAAAAAATTCGATAGTAGTGCATCTCATCGAACGAAAATAAGGCTTCGGATTTGCATAGAAGGGAATACTAAAAAAAAGTATGGACATCTATTTTTCATGATGACTACTTCATTGAATGATTGTGAAAATTTTCGAATAACTTATAAAGTTGCGTGTGAACAGGTTTTCTGTCCCAATAGTTATTAACTACAATTGTCGATTCCGGTTCTGGAAATCCACTCAACTTCGGTGATGAGTCTATAACATTAACAAAAGCAGGACGAGGAGTACGTGGGGTTGGTATTGGTTTGTAAACGCTGTTATTACTTGATTTTATATGTGTAATTGAATTTACTGAAGAGGTTACATGTGATGGTAAATTTTCAGTGGAATACAAATGATTTGAACATACACTAGAACTTATTCCCTATATCAATGAAAAATAAAATGGGAATCACTTTGTTATGTATCAACAAAAATAGGAATAAACAAATGAGATCTTCATAAAACTTCGTGTACTCCATTCCAAAAGTGGATTTCAAAAAAATACAGTAGGGGAACTGTATTGCATTGAGTGACGTTTTCATCATAAATTTCGAACACCCAACTACTATTTCTCCATCAAAATAAAAATCAGAAAACCTAGGATGAAAAACAGTAGTAAAGCTATACTGAAATAAATCGATAACTGGAAACTTGACAATACCAGTTTGCAAGGTAATCACTACCTAAAAACGAATGAATGAACAGCTCCTACAATAAGCACACTTTAACACTTCTTTTACAAGAGTACACATCAAAAAGATTTCATTAGTCATTAGGTTAAGATCGCCTTGATAAAATGATAAAGAAGGAAAATTTAGCTATGTATTTGTTATCATATTATGACGCTATAGCCCATCTGGTCTGAAAACAAATCCTGTAGACATTGTATCAAACCTGTATGTAGTCATATACACGATTGCCTGGAATATTGACATTCTAAAAACTAATCATTATGAAAAATAGAACGTATAATCCAGTGAAACTTTTCAATTACAAAGAACAACACAGACTAAAAGAGCATAATAAAAAATAAGGTATAAGAAAACTTACTAAGAGTAAACTGTCAATTTTGTTTATTTGATTACTAAATTGATTCGACACAGTTTTGACGGATGACTTTTTGTCACAATTCTGTTCAATATGAGAACAATGATGAAGCATTGATAATGATTGATCCTGTTTGCATTCTGGTACAATGTAAGGAGTAAATGTAACAGTATTATGAGATGAAATTGTCGTAACATCATTATTACACATAAATGTATTATTGATAGAATTCCGCGGAATAATCTCATCATTCGATAATGATTTTGATACATCGAACTGATGATTGAATAAACGTAATCCAGTTGAAGTGTCCGCATAAAATTTAGTCTCTGTCGAAGCACACACTTCATCAATAATATGTAGTAGTGACTCCAATTCTGAATGTGGACTAAAACAGTGGAAAATAAATTTTTAAGAAAAGCAAAAGGATCATTTAGTAAACATAAAACAAACATTATCAGTTGATTAAGGAGAAAATGAGTATTTATTGCCATAGTGTAATAACAACAATGGTTCTTCAATCAACATTATAAAATGATAGCTAGTGAAAAAGTGTAGTCTACACTAAGTGCTGAATGTTAATAGAGTTGAAGGATTTTGTAGTGTATTGTATTCAAATGTTAGGATAGTAGTAGACGAAATAAACTTGAATCTCTGTTGAAGCACGCCTTGGGATCTCGTTATTATCATTTTATAAATATAACACCGGTAGAAAAAACCCCGTAACACAAATTACAATTCTGTTGAAAACTAAATACTATTGCTATTAACTACACGCCAATTGACAATTTAACAAATCTTTTTCAAACATACAAAACTAACATGGTGTCAACATTACTACAACAATCTTAATTAGAAATTGATTTTACGAAAAGTGTAGAGCAGTGTATAGTTATGAAGTAAACCTAGTTATCACAAAAACATATAAGCACTGATTTACTTGATAGCAAGGGTACAAGCGAAAGTATGAGCTGTGATGTAACGCTAATGATAAAAGAACTTGTACTAATAGAGAAATCGTTAAACAAGAAATTCAATTGAATTGAATGACCTGAGCAAAAAAACTAAAATTACTTTGGTGGAGTAGTAGCAGCTTGAAAATCATTCTCATTGGAAGCTTCCGATAAGCCCATGCCTTGAGACATTTTGTTAACATGACAAGACTTATTTTTGATGAAAGTGGAATCGACTGTATTTGCAAAGTCAACAGTTCTGTTACAAAAGTTGACAGGTTTAAGGGTAGAAAATATTGGCGCTCCAGCTTCAAGTAAGGCTTGACGAAGCTGATTAGTAAACTGTCTACAAGCTCTTTTATGTACACGGGCTAATTCTGAATGAAGTGTTTGTGCAGCACGAGATTGGCATAGTTCAACATAATTTAAAACATCAGCTAAAATATGATTAGTAAAAATTGGATAATTCGGTTTCTTTTCAAAGATGACAATTAGAATTTATTAGAATTAAGAGTTTATTATTTAGGAGAATATAAAAAAAGAAATGATAACAAGCAGAATTTGGATATTGTAATAAGAAGACAAAGATTATAAGAACTATGTGATATCCTAGCGCAATAAATTCCGAACAATTTGATTATACATATAATTGTTAAGAATTATCTAGATATAAAAATAAAAGGACAACTAGACAGTGTAAGAGGAGACAAAGATTTTTATATATAAATTATTTTTAACAAGTATATGTGTGATCACATTGTTCGAAAGGTATTGCGCTAATATATTAAATAGTTCTGATGATCTTCGTCTTCTTATTACGCACCCAAATTTATCGAAGGGATTAATTGTTTCAAACAAGCAAAATCTCAATACAAATAAGCCTTTAATAGTGTTAACGAATCAAATTTAAATTCCAGCAACATAACTCTATTCAGTTCATTGTTAAAAACTATTATTGCCGGGTGAACTGCTATCCAGTAATCTGTACTCAACGAATAAGTAATTTGGTTGACCTATATAGAGAACCTGGACAGCAAAGTCTAAGTACGGGAGAGATGCTGTTGTACTCCGGTCACAAAGAGGAAAATGCTTCACACACTCAAAGAGTTGCTCTGATGTTGACCAAAGAAGCATGAAATACACTTATAGGATGAAAATCTCATGGATCCAGGATCATCAAAGCATCAATCAAAAGAAAGGAGGAAATCACAATGAATGCATAAACCAATGATAGCAACGATGACGATAAAGATCAGTTTTACGAAAGGCTGCAGTTAATCATAGCGAAGTGCTCAGGAAAGGATATAACCATTCTGATAAGAGATCTAAACGCCAAATCCCTAATGGACAACACCAGTCGTGAAGATATCATGGGACGACATGGAATAAGAGAAAGAAACGAAAATGAGGAGGAATTCGCAAATCTATGTGCGTTCAACAAATTGGTTATAGGTGGCACAATATCTCCCCATAAAAGCATACACAAAGCTAAATGAGTTTCACCGGACCACACCACACATAATCAGATCGATTATATTTGCATCAATAAGATATTCAAAAGGATAATGGAAGACCTGAGAATCAGCAAAGGAGCTGACAGTTTCAGATCACCACCTGGTTGTTGTCAAGATGAAACTGAAGCTAAAGAAACACTGGACAGCTGGGGAAACAGCAGTACAAAGGTTAAATACAGCCCTCCTACGAGATGCTAACAAACTCAACGAATACAAGATAGCTCTCAACAACAGGTTCCAAGCCTTACAGAATCTATTGAAAAAGAAACGACTATGGAGGGAAACTGGGGAGGAGTGGAAGAAGCACTAACTTCAACGTGTCTGGAGGTGCTGGGCCGCAACAAGCATCATCATAAGGAACGCATCTCTATGGAATACCTTGACAAGATTCTAGAGAGGCAGAACAGGAATACAGCAATTACCAACAGCTGAACAAGAGAAGAGAAAGTCAAGGCACAAGCCAAGTACACAGAAGGAAACAAGCAAGTGAGGAGGAGCATTAGAGCTGATATGCGGAAATACGCAAAAGAGCTAGCAACGACAGTGGAAAAAGATGCAAGACAAGCAAGCATGAAACAACTATATGACAACGAAGAAACTGATCGACCAAGGACAAAGAAGACAAAACAACCACTGCAATTCTAGGATAGAGGAACTCTTAAATAGACTAGCTCCACTGAACCCACCGGACATTAAAGCAGCACGCGCAGACCTTCCTATAGATGTCACTCCGTTAACCATCGAAACCAGTATGGCTACCAGACACATCAATAGTGGAGAAGCAGTAAGACCTGACAATGTACTAGCTAAAACACTAAAGTCAGATATAGAAGTAATTGCAAACACGCTCCACACTCTTGATGGAGAAACTCTGGAAGATGTGGAGTCTTTCAAGTATTTGGAAAGCATCATCGATGAACAATGAAGATCTTATGCAGATGTGATGGTACTGATTGGTAAAGTAAGGACAGCATTCCTACAGTTGAAAAATATACCAAAATCAAAACAACTGTCTGTCAACCAACATCAAAGTCACCATCTTCAATACAAACGTCAGGACAGTTCTACTGTACGGAGTTAAAACTTGGACAACTACCACAGCCATAATCAAAAAGGTACAAGTATTTATAAATAATTGTCTACGCAAGATACTCAATATCCGTTGACTGGATATCATCAGCAACATCATTCTGTGGGAGAGGACAAACCAACTTCCAACTGAGGAAATTGGTAAAAGACACTGAAAGTGGATAGGATATAAGTTGAGGAAATCATCAAACTGAATCACCAGGAGGCCAAAGAATACACTGCGTCGGAAATCGAAAGCAGACATGAAAAGAATGGACAGCAATCGTAAAGGATTGCTCAGGACAGAGCTGGATGGAGAATGCTGGTGGGCGGTCTGTGCTCCTCCACGAGAGCTAACAGGTGTAAGGAAGTAAATAATACAGGGAACTGAACGATATAGTCTTTTTTACATAAATGTAATTCATGCAATAATACAAGTTTGTGAACTCCACCATAAACTACACACGTTATTAGAAGCCTGATGATCCCACTCGATTATCTTTAATCTATGAGGAGAGAGAACGAAATTCATAACCCAGTTAACACTATTAATGTTCACAAGTTGCTAAAGTGACAATTAGATAGTTGATAGCATTCTATTTTACGTTATCATCTCTCATGCAATGAGAAGTACCTTAGTGATTAGAATTAGTTAGAAAACAAACAGACCTAATCAGTACAGCCAATTCATGTTGAGATTATTTGGACAATCAATTGTTGTGTTATTTTTCTATAGGCAGTCTGCGTAATTTGGTTGCCCAATGTGAGTTGATTTGCTAATAACCTTGATTGAAAAACGAGTTAAAGTGTTAACGAGAGCTCAGATGATATCAAGTGAGTTAGCAAAAGCTATTTTTCATTAACTAGTTATCTTGAATCACCTGGTCGTTTTATTAATGACTACAGTCAAACTCATGAAATTTAGTACAGCTAAAAACAGTACCTTCTACAGACTGATACCAGACCACGAAACGGAACAATCTTCTTATTTAAGTGGCGCAAAATTCTAAAACATAACAAATTTGCTATCTATTTTCATGTATTGGCGATTCTGAAACTGTTTAACTGTATATCAGCTTTTATTTGTAAAAGTACTATAAATTGCATGAATCAAAGTATCAAATGTCTAAGCAAGGACTACAAATTCGATAACAGTATGTGCAGTGACAACTGATTAAAAAGTATCGAATTAAATATACCAGTAATGTTGAACATACTTGAAATGAAGACTTGATTCATGTAAGACAATACAAATTAAATTATTTCATAAACTAAACAAATAGTCTCGTGGAAAAAATCTCAAACAAACCTTTGATTTTTTTAATAATAGAATGATAATATTCAGCATCTAGACCACTAACTTGTACAGATTTCTGTTCATAAGTGGTTGAATTGATGATGTTTAATAATGGATTGTTGAATTTTTGTACACATTTACTCATATCATCAAGATTAACAACTAACAAATGAATTTTCCCAAGCACTGATTGATATTCACAACCAATCATTGTAAACAATCGAATTTTTAAATAATTGTAATTTGCATTTTTCTGACAATAATCCGAAGATGTTTGCTCGAAAATTTCATCAGATTTATCAGTTGAAATATCGGCAGAACTACATTGTAGCGTATCAAGGCACTTAAACATAAACTGATTTTCTGAGAAAAACTTATTTACATTCCTATTAAAAATATGTGCTACCTTTAAGAAATGAAATAAAAACAAAATATTTGAAGATTTTTTATATACATATTACTAGATTATATAATTAACATTACGATCATATATGGTACGAAAATTACATCAACTGATTAAACGAAACCAAAAGAAAGCTCTATGATTAAATTGAGTACTTGTTGGGATTTTCAAGAGAGAAAGCAGAAACTTATAAAAGCAAATAAAGTATTGGTATGATGTTATTATCAGTTTGTCCTTGGAAATTGAACTAGTCAAAAGAATTTAGGCCAGAATATCAACTTGACCACTGAATGTAGTAAGAAGACTATTTGAAAAACGATTTATTATCAAATTACTCAAAAGCTAAATAATAATGTACTTTGAAAATGATCGTTGGTTTAAACAGTTAAAGAGTTTGATATTTAGAAGTAGGTTACAAGTTCAAATATCTTACTCAATATAGTTGGGTCGTATTGTTCGTTTATAGGGCTAAAACGAGGTTAACAAGCCTGTAATTGATAACTGAGCTGCATTAACATTAATTAATAAAATTCCATAGTCGGTAAATTTACTGCAAAAACATTGTTATTTTTGACATACACTACCACAGTTTAAAAGATACTGTGCATGCAAAGTACAGCAATATACAATATATTTACTAAATTTTTATGTAAATCAACAATAAGTTAATAACCACAAGCGTACAGTCAGTCAATGAGGAAAATTTATAACTTTTATTATACGGAGAGTCTCATATTTTTCAAGAAATAAAAAATTTCAGACAAACTAACAATTTTTAATAGTATGTTACGAAGATTTAGAAAAACCCAAAATAAAATTTAATTCATTAAACAGAAAGCAGACAAGACATTTATTAAGTAAGAACAGCATTCCTACAGTTGAAAAATATACCAAAATCAAAACAACTGTCTGTCAACCAACATCAAAGTCACCATCTTCAATACAAACGTCAGGACAGTTCTACTGTACGGAGTTAAAACTTGGACAACTACCACAGCCATAATCAAAAAGGTACAAGTATTTATAAATAATTGTCTACGCAAGATACTCAATATCCGTTGACTGGATATCATCAGCAACATCATTCTGTGGGAGAGGACAAACCAACTTCCAACTGAGGAAATTGGTAAAAGACACTGAAAGCGGATAGGATAAAAATTGAGGAAATCATCAAACTGAATAACTAAGCTAGCGCTAACTTGGAACCCTGAAAGGAAACAGAAAAGAGGAAGGCCGAAGAATACACTGCGTCGGAAATCAGACATGAAAAGAATGGACAGCAACCGTAAATGATTGTTCAGGGCAGAGTTGGATGGAGAATGCTGTTGGGCGGTCTATGCTCGTCTATGAAGGGCAACAGACGTAAGGAAGTGAATAAATACAACGGCATTATGTTTTCTGGTGAATTCACTTTTTTGTCGATTCGCGGAACAAATCCTAATCGAATAAGTTGTTTAGATTTATAACGTTTAGAAAAGTTTAATTTCAATGGCTGGTAAGATGGAACTTGTGGAATATCCTAAAGATAAGATAAACAATCGAAGATAACTTATAAAATGACCTGAAAAATTCACCCACAGTAAGTGACAACTTTTCAAATTACACATTATTTTGTTGATATATTTGATAAATAACAATATAATACTTCTATATAATAAAGATAGAAAAGTACTTATGGTGAAGAATGATGCATTATAGATCAACGTGAAGTTGTACCATGGATTTAGTGAGATATGATAATGGTAAAAAAAATCATTTAGTTAACCAAGGATACATTACCCCAAAAAGCTTCTCCATAAAACTGTATCTGTTACAACAGAGATCATACTAAATAAGAATAAACAAGGAACCCTGACAAGATGTTCAGAAAACTGATAACAACAATACTACTGAATTGTTTCAAAATGATTGCTTTTATCGATAGAAACAAAGAAAACAACACAAATATGCTATAAAAGCAATAATACACTATCGATAAATACAACTACTTTTATACCAACTTTTAATAACTTACATTATATTCAACTGTTAGCTTATCAATTTCATTATCGATCTGTTTCAACAAATCCTGAAGTAGATGTTTAAAGACATTTTGTGAAGAGTTTGATATTTCCTTCTCCAAATAACATAAATTCATACAGGATGTTTCAGTTAAATGTGTACATAAATGAAAAAGACATTCTGCAGACAAATATTCAGACAATATAGGATATTTATTACGAATAGCAGTTTTAATTTCATTACTGTTAAAACTATCCGGTATTTGATTACCCACGGTTATTCCAAACTTTATTGGTAGCAATTCACTAAGTTCCTTTAGAAAAAGAAACCCATTAATATATATATATATATATATATATATATATATATATATATATATATATATTAGCTGTACTGAAATTTGTAGTAATAATAATACCACTGTTTGAAAAGACGATTATTATCATCCCTGAAATGAACGGCAATCGATTGTAATGCACAGAATTTGCCAAATATCTCATAGGGTTTCGAAATTTCACTAAAAAAACTTAATTTTAAAACTTTGAATAGTCAAATAGAGACAGGAAATTGTTGACTATAATAGAGACACAAACACCATAATTTGACTATTTGATCATCTGTTATACAGATAATGAGTAATCCCTTTGCCTATGCATACACTTATGACAAGCTGAGTCACTGCTTGAACAACATTTCAAATAAATTAGTGTCTGAAAACTCATGAAATACCCTAATAATGACTGTTTACATGTATAATACTATGATCACAATACTACAAACATGAATGAATTTTCGAGATTATACAGTAAAATTAAAACTTTGGTAAATTTGGGTAATTCAAATGTAGTACAAAATGTCATTATATGTGAAAATTATATTTGAAATAATCTCAGCGATAGATTTTGATCATAACCCTGAAGAAGTCCAGACAAGTTAGCTAGACGAAAAGTTGGAATTACTTAAATTTCAATCTCAGACTATTTCAAGTATAATTTTCACATAGAATGACTTCTCTATACTCGGCGCCCAATTTCTGTCTAACTATTCGTTTTAATATTGACGAATATTCGTAGTATAAAATGATTTTATAAAATTGAAATTAAAGACTATTGAGCTATTCAAGGTTGAGGAAACAATGAAGCAGTAATAAAAAGTCAGAAGATTAAGGAAACAGAAAACTTGAATTCAAGTGAATATCTAATTATATTTCCCATAATTTTCACGACGGGGAAAATCACACACAATAATGATACAAATTACTCTAAACAGCAAGAACAACAATATTTGCAGAATAAAATGAATTCATCAGTTTATTTCACGGTTTCTTATTAGCTGCATACAACTAAAAATTACAATCATTAATGAGAAATATCATTATTAACCAATGCTTAGTATACTTTAGTTTGCGTAGTTTAGATAAATGATCGAGACACATGCCTAGGAACCTACAGATGAAAGGGAGTAAAGTCTTTACAAATGCAATTGCCAGAGATCTTGATAGTGGACATGAAATGAATGTAAGTGATGCATTCAACATAATCAACAGACAAAAAAACACCAATCATTACCAAACGCTTCCGACCTGATCTATGTATAAAGAAGAAAGATTTGATTAGCCGTTCCCTGTCATGATGATTAGATACCTGTTTAATAACCTTAGTTAATTTTAATTTATTTTTCAACTCTTTGATCAATCCTTTATTTTAACTATTCTTTCGTTTCTTGATATTCATCTCTTACATAATCTGATTGACGTTCATATACATGCTTATTTTGCCATGTTGAGCGATTACCAAGTAACTCATTCATTTCACTACCCTTACATAACTTTCAAATTATTATCTCCTAACATATAAATACATATCGATCTTAACTACGACTATTCAGAAAGTTTGTATCCCCATTATTCTGATTATTATGATTTTGGTTACGTTTCGAAATTTATCTAAACTTCGCAAACTAAAGTATACTAAGCATTGGTTAATAATGATATCTCTCATTAATGATTGTAATTTTTAGTTGTATGCAGCTAATGAGAAACCGTGAAATAAACTGATGAATTCATTTTATTCTGCAAACCTTGTTGTTTTTGCTCTGTTTAAATTTATCAAGGGATCTAGTTACACAACAAATTACTTTACCTGGAAAAATGGAATGAAAAATCAGGAAGTTCAACTAAAACTTACAGTTTGAACAAATGCGGTAGATTTTGCTAAATATGACGTATTTACGCTAACATTCATTGATACACAAGCTTCTGTCTGATTGCCTTTATCCTCTATATGAAACAAAGAATAAGAAATGATGTGTTAAAAAGTAAACATATAAAATATACTAACGTGGCTCTAACAATACAAGGTTATTTGATTTAGAACTAAACATTGTAGGTCGTTGTTTAGTGAGGCAAAGAACTTTCTACTCAAGATTTTAATTTATACTACTAAGTTACAGGAATAACCATATTAGATCTTGTTGGGACGATTTGGCATAAATTGTTTGACGTTTTTATCCAGTAACTTGAGATAGTTTAAAAATGAACATGCCGAGTGATGTCTTTGTTAAATATTAATTCTTCGTAATTACAGACCGCATGCTATCTTTTGATATTCTAAGATAGCGTAGGTCGGAGAATCCTGGTCAGTAGCTTATGCTTCATGAGGGTTAACAGACGTATGTTGTAGAACACGATATAGCAACGAACTACCAATTTTGTGCATTTATAATGTTACCATGTCTCACTGTTTTTTCTACTTGTACTACGCCTTCTTCCCTTTTCACTTGTTTACTATCCAATTTATACAGCACCTTTTGACATTTTATTTTGAACAGTTTAGCTTTATTCGAAACACCACCTAATTTATTTTTGATCATCCTAGTTGTCTATTTAACAGTGACATGGTTTCCTCTAACTAATTGTACATACCGTATAATATTACCCACTTTAAAGATGCATTTGTTATTTGACTGTAATTAGTCCTGGTGTAGTGAACAGAACACCAGTGGGGACAATCGAATGTATTAAACAACAAATTACAGAACTAGTTAGTAAAATCTAACAACCATATATTAAATGCTCAATTCGCAAATTGTTCATCCATTGTCTCAAAAGACTCAGAATTCCTTTGTTCTTGCATTTTCATACAAATTGCATTCTGTATTCATTCTTTACTGTTTGATCTTCTTGTCTCTCTGCTGCCAGACATTCTGTTCATGACTCACGTCATACACTACTTATGTCTACATAAGTAGCACACACCACACTGGGACACCATAAAAACATCGTTTTTACATCTAATAATTTAGTTTTGCGATTTTTAATGTAACTCAGTGATCAGGTTGACATTTTCGAATGGATAACGTAATAATTATTTGTTGTATATTAAAGATGATCGCAAACATATAACATATAACTTTATATAACACATAATTTCTGCACATTACACAAGGAAATTTTGATACAGATTCATATCACAATGAAATAGAGCGATCACTGTATACATGAAACAACTCCAGGTTCATTATCATTGTTAATTATAAGCAATTAGCTTTTCACACTCCTTTGAGATAAACGTTATGCATTTTGAAGCAAATCAATATTGCCTTGTCTACAGTATGCCGAATGAGAAGACAATGATTCAAAATGCAAGTAACTATTGATTAAATACATCATAAATAATGTGTCACTTAGTTCAGTTATCATACTGCATTGTACATAATACTGTTACGGTAAACGAATATCGTATTTTATTAAGATGAAACGTATCTCATTTAAATTATGAACTGACCAATGTTAGACCACCATTGAAAACCTGAAAGCATTGGGTGGTCGTTTCGTCCTGGTATGGGATTCCAACCTAGGACCTTCGGTTTCGCACGAACACTTAACCTCTAAGCCAATGATCGGTTCATGATTTCAATCTCCACAACAAACGTGGCTACTAAGAGTAGAAGATACTCGTAAGTTACAAGTATTTGATCACAGATGTTTTAGAAATATTGCTCGCATCTGCTGGGATCATCGGGTAAGTAATAGTGAGGTTAGACGCAGGGTATTAGGGAATGATGGTAAATCAGTTGATGAGGTTGTAAATCTTCATCGACTAAGACGGTTGGATCACGTACAACGTATGCCTGAATACCGATTACCATGACGCGCAAAGCTGACTAGTGTTGAGAATGGTTGGAAGAAAGCTAGGGGTGGCCAAACCAAAACGTGGCATCAGTGCTTGAAGTCACTAATTTCTAGTCTGCGCCATGTTGGTAGATGCAGACTACTTGGTTGGGGTCCGCGCGACTATCGTAACCAATGGTTGGAGACTCTTGGTGACATGGCTCAAAATCGATCACAATGGCATAGATGTATACATTTTCTGTCTTCCCTTAAATTATGAGATTAAAATTATTTCATATCTTTCTTCCTACGAACTAACTCTTTCTCACTGTATTATATCCTTCTGCACAATCTTTCTTTTATATATTACTACCATTGAAGCAACTGCTTCTATGAATTTAGTGTTCACCTTATTGTGCTAATGAGGTGTGGCAACTTGGACCGATACATAGATGTGCCTGGTACTACGTTGTAGATGACTGACTGACAACTCCAAACTGAAACATGTTTAGATTTGTTCAATAGTGATAAGTCATTACTACAGTGTTCAGAGCTCTTTAACAGTCTATTTTTACATTAAATTATAACAGTTTACCGGAAATTTTTATCAAAGGAACTAAGTGGTGATCAATGGTGTCCATAGCTAATCATCTCAAACAACGATAATGATGGATGAAACTTACTAAATTTATTAATAAGAGCGTTGACTCCTGTATTTTGTGTTTTCATTTGCAAAATCCATGACTGACGTGCGACTTCGATCTACAGAAAGTAAATGTGAACAATAAACACTCAAAACAAGCGTTAAACAAAAGAAGCAAATTAAAAATTTAATTAACATTGAATTTAATTTCCATTATGATACCAACTACTTCATAACTATTATTATACACTGAAATAATTTATTGTTCATGATGCAAAATTATGTGTACATTATAATCACTTTGGTTTTCTAAATACTTGATATTATAGCTAAAAATGAATGTAGTAGAGACCTTAGGTATCATATATTAGTATAACTTAAGGTTATCGTTAGTTTCGAAACAGAACATGGACGCTGAAATACGATACAACACTGTGTATGAGCAAGTTTTATGTCATATAATGAAAGTGTACAATAAACGTCAAAGTTGTGAGTAGGATTGAAGAATTATAGAACCATATCTATTCACGACTAAAAGGTGCTTAAAAGTTAATGTTACCGAAAATAATTAATAGGTAAAAGAAAAGGAAAATTTCTAGATGACAGATTAGAAGGTCACATAAAATAACTATAGTATCGACGATGATAGCTGTCAGTACGAATAGTGCCAAACAAAGCGATATAATGGTTTACAACCTGTAAATATTTGCTGAAGAATCATGAATATCCATCAAAACAAATATGTAGATAAGATGGATAGTGGCTAGCAGTGGAATCCAGGACGCGCGTTTCGTCCTATTTGGGACTCGTCAGCTGAATGTGCCTGCATCTCAGAGTTGATGTTCACTCTGGGACTCGAACCCAGTACCGTCCGCTTCAAACGCCATCGCGTTATCCACTTAGCTACTGAGTCCTAATAGCCAGTTGCTTGTGAGATGGGGTGAAGTTTAATTCACATGATATTGTTTTACTTGAATCTTCCGATTGATGTTTAGGACTGCAATTGATCAGTCTCTTATTGGCATATGTGCATACTGTGCACAAGCAAGTGGCTATTAGGATTCAGTAGCTAAGTGGATAACGCGATGGCGTTTGAAGCGGACGGTACTGGGTTCGAGTCCCAGGGTGAACATCAACTCTGAGATGCAGGCACATTCAGCTGACGAGTCCCAAATAGGACAAAACGCGCGTCCTGGATTCCACTGCTAGCCACTATCCATCTTTGCTTATAATGCTTGTAACTTGAGGCAATATCGAGGCAATACGCACAGTATGCACATATGCCAATAAGAGACTGATCAATTGCAGTCCTAAACATCAATGGGAAGATTCAAGTAAAACAATATCAAGTGAATTAAATATGTAGATATATTCATTAAAAATATTTACTCAAATGCTCTTGAACTCAATATTAAATACGAAGAAACAGAACTATGTATAGGTTATCTGGTAGTCGATTGTAATAATACATATACGTACTTATTTATAGATATTCTGATCGAGTTTAATTTCAAAAGCTTATCACTATTTAAATAATTGAACTTTTGACAAAAACCCAATTTATACATTACCGATGCTCATATTATTGTTTGAACAAACTGAACCATTCACACAGAAAGTGCGAGGAGTCAATATTTACAACTCTTACTTGTTCCGGCAGCTCTTCCCTCCAAAATCGCATTCTCTCTGCTTCTCTCAACTTCATAGCCTAAAACATATCATGCAAAAATACCATACTACTGAAGTTAAATTTCAACACAAAATGGTATAGAGTGATATCGACTCAAATTTATAGATGGGGTTAGCTGTAAACAAACAAAAGTTGCACAAACATGTCAGCTTTATCTTCTCATTGCATTATTTAAATTTACCAGAAGAGAAACTAAATGCAAGGAGTTGATAAGTGTAAAATGAATACATCTGGGAGATAATTTTTAATGTGTTAGAAAGAAATATTGATATGATCGAAATATATTATTGTTTACACGATTTGTCATTCCTAAAAACATTTAATGTGACTACTTGATCTGCAATGTGTATTGATATTGATTAGTGTTTAATTTCGTGGAGTTGGGTTTCAATGGTTAAGCCAATTAGTTTATCATTATTTTAGTCACAAAATAGAAGGCGATTTTGTTTACATACAACTTCAATAACAATTATAAATTAGGCACGATCTATAGCTTGCTGAATAACAGTGTATGTGAATATAAAACTAAAGAGTGGTTGCTTTAAGGAGGATCTTAAATTCAAGCACACTTATTGGTGAATTTTAACCTTTTCGTTAATCCCTGAAAATATTTTACCATACAACTTAACACAGAAATTTATTTTCTTGACTACTTATGAAACTCTATGAGTAAAACACGCCAACATTTTTTTTAGACAACACACCCATCTATGTTAGTCTACACTGAAAACTTGGAAAGATAAGACAGCCGTCTCGTTTAAGAAAGGGACTCTTCAGCAGTGCGCATCCACGACGTCGTAACTGCGGATCAAACCCAGGGCCTTTGTTTTTGCGAGCTACCACTTTATCTCAAGACCAATGGGCTGCTATTCAATGTTGTAGAAGTACAACTTGAACAATTCGCGATATTGCGCAAGTATCTCTCTTTTTCTTCGGTGAGTACCTTCTTCATACAGGGCACAGTTGTGTCACACTGTAAAAGGTTTCTCATTAAAACTTTGTCAATTTCCTCTCGAAGTTAATCACTTGTGTTTCGTACTAGTTGTAAATCAAAAATATTAAAAATATACAGCTAATAATGTGACTTTTTGAGTGAGTTATCATTCGTTCATACAATGAAATAGAAATTATTAGCCATATTAGATAGTCAGTCAGTCAGTAACAATGTGAACTTCGTACGTACGTACATCACTTCGAGTTGCCATAACACATTAGCACAGAGATTCAGTTATCGATTCAAATCCCGTAGTGGTAGATGTACTAAAAGTATAACTGGTGATAGGGAACACTAAGGTTTGATGTTATTTAAGGAGTATTATGCAGTGGAATAAATTTGGTTAGAAAATAAAGGACATGAAGAACTCAGAAGATTAGAGTTTGAGAGAACACAGAGAGTGGATGCACCTGCGCCATTGCAAACGATTTTCAGCCATGTCATTCAAGATCTCTAACCATCGGTTGCTATCGTCTCGCGGACCCCAACCAGGTAGTCTACACCTACCATCATGGCTCAGTCCACTTGTCAGTGATTTCATGGATTTGTGCCATGTTTTGGTCTAGCCGCCCCTAGCTTTCTTTTAACCTACTCCTACACTCTAAAACATCGCACGTCGAGGCAGTTGGTGGTCGGGCATAAGTAACACATGTCCCAGCCATCTCAACTGATGAAGTTTCACTACTTCGTCAGTTGATTCGCCATCCTTACCTAGTACCCGTTTCCTAACAACTGCATTACTTATTTGGTGGTCCCAGGATATACGAGCAATGTCGAATACTAGTAACCTAAGAATATCCTCTACTCTTACTGGCCATGTTTCACTGCCATAAAGTAGGATGGAACGAACTGCTATGCAGTAAACACGTCCTTTGGTTGATAGACAGATATCTCGCCTACGCCACAAATGACGTAGGTTGGCAAAAGCTAATCGAGCCTTCTGTATCCGTGCTGAGATTTCTTTACACACCAGACCACAAGGGCTGATGAGACTTCCAAGATAAGTGAAGCGGTCGACACGCTCAACTACTTCACTCCCTATCACTAGTTCAGGTGCCGATGCAACCCAATCCTGAAGCAACATTTTGCATTTCGAGGGAGAAAATCGCATGCCGAACATGCTTGCATTGTTGCTTAGAGTGGTCAGCAGACTCTGCATTCTGTCAGCGTCTTCAACAAATAGAACTATGTCATCGGCATATTCTAGGTCAAAAAGTGAATTTCCCGGTAGAAGTTCAACCCCTGGAAATTCAGATGTGGAAAGTGTTATCTCTAAAAGAACGTCAACGACAAAGTTAAACAAGAATGGAGAGAGTGGACAGTCCCGACGAACACCACTTGAGGTAATCAGTTCTGATGACAGTTCGCCATAAGCTCTCACTCGACCAGTTAGTTGTGTTCGAGTAGAGAGCCTTTATAAGGTTAATGTACTTCTTTGGTACTCCTTTCAGTGACAAACACTGCCACAGAACCTCACGATCGACAGAGTCAAATGCCGCCTTAAGGTCGAGAAATACTACCATTGTGAGGCATCTGAATGTGTGTTTATGTTCTAGGACCTGACGTAGTGTGAATATTTGATCTATACAACCACGTCCTGGTCGAAAACCAGCCCGATTTTCTCTAGTCTGCTCTTCACGAGCTTTGGTTAGGCGTCGAAGTAATATTGAAGCTAATATTTTAGACACTATATTAGTCAAACTGATTCCTCTGTGATTGTCACAAGAGGACTTTTGTCCTTTCTTATAGACTGGCACAATCAGTGATTGAGACCAATTCCCAGATTCTACCTAAGACCTCAGTCAGTCTTGCTGCTAATACGGGACCGCCATCACTAAAAATCTCAGGGGTAAACCTGTCAGGGCCTGATGCTCTCCCACGCTTCAGATTTCCTATAGCATTTTCAACCTCGTAAAGAGTCAAAGGACTTACATTAATTTGCCATTCAGGTAGACTGGAGATCGTGGGAAACCGAAGTGTGGCTGAAGGCCAGTTGAACTGATCCCTAAAGTGTTCTGCCCATCGATCCAATCTCCTGGATTGAGAATGAATAATATGTCCATCTTTCTCTGAGATTGTTTCGCTAACAGTTGGGTTCCTAATACAGGTTTCCTTAACAAGTCTGAGCAGTTGTCTGCTGTTACCTAATGCCGCTGTCGCCATTATCTGTTCTTTGAGCCACAACACCATGAGATTCACCCAGGTGTCTTTCCCCTTCGCTTAGTTTACCTAGTTGAGCATTAAAGTCACCAGTCACTATTACTACATCAGAGCGCCTAGCTATTCGGAGAAGGTCGGGAAGCTTTCTGTAAAACTCATCTTTTACATTATCTGAGCTGCAGTTAGTGGGAGAGTAGGCAGAGACGACGAAGAGGCAACGACGAGTGTCCCTATCTTTACGAGTCCACCTGATTAGATATCTGAACCAAAAACATACACCACAATATAAAACTAACTAAATATAGAAATATACAGAACGATTTTTTAATCAAAAATTTGATATGGCTATAGCACAACCCACCTCCATGACAGCGTTTTCAACAGCCTTCTTTGCAGATATTTGACTTTCTTGATATAAATTCGTAATCCGTTGAACTTCACGTTCCATCTCACATATTCCCTTCCTAAAGTATAAAGTATTGATACAATACTAATTAAAATGTATTTTACTTAATACATACAAATTCATGCATCCAGTCTCAAGCCATACTATTTGTATGAGTCTGTAAAGCGAAAATAGATGTAGTGGTGTTAGAATATATGACTTGAAAGAAAAGGGTTTTAATCAATAACTCATTACTCTATATTAACCTAACGATATTTATGATCGAATAACTTGGACATATAAATAAAAGAGCTACTATGTAAAGATGAACAATATAATTTGTAGATTACCAATATGATGACCATAACTAATTAACACTCCGAAACGGTGAAACGAAAAAGATCACAACATCTAAAAAGTTAGTGAATAGAAACCAGTACATAAATTATCACAATTCGATTTACTTGGACTTACTACTTATTACATCTAATCATCATACGTAAATCCGTAAACCGAAAATTGCGTAAATCAAATAGCAACTGTTATCTCTAGCGATTTCCTTAAAAACCTCGTAATCATTGGTTGAATGAATCAGTGATTGTTTAAGGAATAATAAACTCAAATACAATTTAATCATAGAATACATTAGGTATCTTACGAGTTATTATCAGCGTTTAACAAAAAAATATTAGATCAACATCTACTTTAGTCAAAAACAAACCAATGATTATTGTGGTAAGTCTCAATGCCAATTAGTATTGACGAAAAATAAGCTTGACTAAGTGGATTATTCTAGTGCGGTAAAACAGAACAGAGAAGTGAACTAATTGCGAACGAAGAGCTTTAAATAGCGTCAGAAGAAATATAATAAATGTAACTCGGAAGATTAAAAAATAAGGATAACAAGCCAAAACGATATTAATCACAACATAGCAGATGATATTGTCCTACCAGCACGGTTTATGCCGATATAGACCATATTCAGTGTCATGATGTTAGTTCGGCTGTAAAAAGTTGGATTTAAAACGCGTCAGTGAAAGCGACTTCGCTCTAGCCTTGTGAAATATGGCCTTCAACAGTTCAAGAAGTCCTTCAACTCTGTGTTCGATCATCGATGTCTCCGAAGGATCTTCGATATTCAGTAACATCATGTTGTTATTCATGAGGTTCAGCTATATGTGTTCGATGGTAGTGGAAATAATTTAATGTGTCACCACTACAAAACACAAACTTTGGTTCACATTGAGCATTATCTGGCAACCCTACAACCAGATGGGAATAGCGGATATGTGACCAGTTCACGACACAGCGTTGTGGTATTACAGAAAGCGAAATAGCTTTCTACAGTAGGGATCTGTCAACCCATCACGACTCCTTGGTTGCACCCACTATACAGTGGCAAGAGACGATATCCGACATGATTTTAAATAAGTAGGCAAATAAAAAGTAACTCCACTTTATTTAATCACTTCTGATAGAATAAGTGTATGATAAACAAATGAAGGGAAAGATAAAGTATAATTAGTCCCAAAAATACGACATAGCCGACACACCTTATTCAAAGACCGGGATAAGCCGAATGATTTCAAAATATGATAATTCAATTAAGAAATTCAACTTAGTATTGTATTATAGTTTTATTATCCAATAGTTGGGAAAAAGCACTTTCTAACCAACTTTAAGTCACAGACATTTCACGATATGAGGTTTGTAAATCATATATCTTGCCTTGTTTTTTATAGATGCACCGTTTTCTAGACTAATTCCATGCTTTGATTTCAGAATTTCACAAAACGCGAATTCTGTCGTACGGTTATTAGATTACGCATATAGAAAGACAATTCAACACATAAATTGAAATACCTACTCCATATCTGCAAGTTTTTCTTCAGCACGACGTGCATTAGTTTCTCTTTCATTGGCCCAGTCTGCTTCTAAGCGGCGACGCATTACTGTATATTGAGCTTCACAAATGGCTTTAGCACGATCAACAGCTGCATCTCTTTCTGCTACACTTGCAGCTAAACGTTCACTGATAGTTTTCTCAGCCTCTAATGCTTTGGCTTCTGCACCAAGCGCAGCTTGTAAACGTGTACGAGTTGTCTAGATGATAGGGAAAAGTCGACATGTCAAACGTAACACAGAAGTGAGTAAAGGGACGAAAGCGTTAGAAGGAAAATAGACTCTACTAACCTGTAACTCGTCTTCCAAGTGAGCATAATCCCCTTTTAACCGTTCTAACTGACCACTTAGTAAGACTTCCCTAGGCCCAGGATTGTCGCCGATAGAACGCAAAGTAGATAATTCTTGTTCTAAAGACAGAACACGCTCCTAAAAGAATAAGTGTAATATGAAGGATGTAGATAACGAAATGCAACAAAGACACATTTGAAAAAAGCGTGATATTTTTAAAAAGACACTAATACAACCAATTGTACAAATACTAAATATTTTACTCAACAAGTAGAGTCCAATGGAAAATTTTATTTTTTATTCAAAAAATGTACAATAACATAATGGGAAATCCATAGATTATTTATAAAAATCTTTTTCCATCAAATTAGTTGTTAGGTGGTTGGAGATAGTTGATAAAAAAAAGTAAACCTAAATTTTGTGCTGTGACACTCGTTAGCAAAGTATGTCTGTAATCTTGAGGGAACTGGAGTTCCCTGACGGACTCAGTCACATAACGTTGAACTTCAAGATTCGAAGTATTATCATCGAGATATTCAGGTTACATCTGAACTCTAGTAGGATTGAGATACAACTTATTGGTCACTGAATAGTAACCAATGTCATGTTTGTCTGGTCCTTTTAGTGTTAATCATGTTCCACCAATTAACTCGCAATATGGCAAAATAGTACACGTAACTCGATATCATGTGTACTATGTTGAGAGATTAGGTGGTTGAAGAAATAAAATTACTTGTATAATATTATTGACAATGAGAAGCACTAAAGTTCACATGAACTAGCATATATATCTTTAACTTACCTGTAAACATTTAGCTGATTTTTCAGCTTTTTCTAATGCTTCTCTTGATTGATGCAACTGACAACGTGTTATATATAGAGTTTCATGAAGTTTAGTTACTTGTTCTCGTTTAGCCTTGTAGTTTAAAAGACAACGTTCCAGTTCATTGCGTAGTTTAGCCATTGGTGATTTCGGTGATATTACTGACACTGCAGGAGTACTGGTTAATATACCTTGACGAGTTAACGAATGGAATAAACCATCTTGTTCATATTCGCATACTTTGTCTGTGAAATCAGCATTATCACTGTATGGTTGTTTACCGTCCCTAAAAAGTCGATAATTTTTAATATGATCTGACAAAAATGTGAGCACAAAAGTTTGTAATGAGGTACAAACCTAAATTTTGTTTCCATTAAATAACAAACTAAACATCAAAGAAGGAAACAAACGTCATTTTTAAAATTAATTGTTAGTTATTTCGAACTTCTGAATGTCAAATGTACAAACTATCAAGTTCATGCCTAGTGTTTATAAATATGGCATTTTGTGGCAGCCTTAGCAGTATAGATCCTGAAAATATCAGGCCTTACCTTACACCAGTGATTCCTGTCTCAGGAGGTAAGGTCTTTTGAAGAACGGAGCTGACATATTACAAACTTCTCACAGAAAGGCGGCGCATGGTCAGCCTCAGAAAGCTGTCTTTTGAACTCTTTGCTCACCATTCCAGGTCGCTGAAACCATAACTAGTCCAACTTCTTCCTCAGGTTCTCCGAGAAATATCCTCCCATAATGTGGGCAACTGGGAAGTAACAAACACCCCTATACTTTTAACAAAATTTGAGAAACTTTCTTAGCATATATGTGGAGGATTTCTTAGTACATTATCGTACCAAGTGGAGCAGTGGATTAGCAATTAAAGCGCTCAACTTTTAACCACCAAGTTTCAGGTCCGAAACGCGCTCCATCTACTTCGACAACCAAGTAGTATCGTTAGCCCTCCCACTTAGAGTGAGGCTTATAAGCAAGTATCTGATGAGTAAATTAATTAAAAAAACAAGTTATAATAAACTTTTAAAGTATACAACAACACAGTAACTTACGAATTTTGGCGAAAGCGGTAAGACTGTTCATTTGAATCCCAACCAGCGATGGCACAATTATCATTCGCACTGTGAATAGGCCGTTCGATTGCTGAACATGGACGTCGACGATGTAGATTTGCGTGGCTGCACTCGATGGTATCGGCGAATGCAACGGATTTTCCTGAATGGCGTCCTTTTATCCCAGTAGGTGTAAATTCACTTGATTCATACGAAAATTGGTTCTCATTATTACCATTGTTATGGAAATAAACATCTAACTTCAAAACGCTTTCATAAATGCTAACTTGATCCCGAAAATCTCGTAGTTCATCCTGGATACAAAAAGATTATAATAAACTAATATACTTTCAATATATGCTACAAATTATATAAACATGGATAGTAAGTAGTTAAAAACTCAGAGGAAAACTGATTAAAATGAATTAACATTTTATTTTATGATAACATGAAAAATGACGAATTTTGATGTTACTTCACATCAATTAATTATCAGTCAGTCATGCACAACGTAGAGCCTGTACGTATCTATATCGGTTCAAGTTGCCTTTCACCATTAGCACAGAGATAAAATCGCCAGATCAAATCCCAAAATAGGAGAGATAGTGACAGTATAAATGATAGTAAGAAAGATTGGGCATTGAAAGTACCACTCGAAAGGAAAATATAAAGTAGTGAAATAAAAACACAAAAATGTGTTATGAGGATTTAGACAAAGAATTGATTCACCTGCACTATCGCAAACAATCTTAAGCCATGTCATTCAAAGTCTCTAACCACCGGTTACGATAATCACACGAACGTCAACCAGGTAGTCTGTACCTATTAACATGGTTCAGTCCGATCTTCGGTGACTTCATGGACTGATGCCATGTTTTGGTTTGGTCACCTCTAACTTCTTCTCAGACTACTCCTACACTAGAAAGCATCGTCCATCGAGGCAGATGGTGGTTGGACATCCCAACCACCTCAGTTGATGATTTACTACCTCATCAACTGATTTCCCATCTTTACCTAATACCCGATTTTTAAATCCGTGATCCCAAACTACACGAGCAATACTTCGAAGACATCTATGATCGAATACCAGTAACCTGCGAATATTTTCTACTCTTAATGGCCATGTTTCACATCCATAAAGTAGAACGGAGTGAACTCCTGCACGGTCCAAGTCGGCAAAACCAACTGAGCCTTTTGAATCCGAGCAGAGATTTCATGAGACACCAGACCATCGGGACTAATGTGACTCTCTACATAAGTGAAGCAGTCGATGCGTTCAACACTATGCTAATTAAGTGACTCCTTTGTGATTGTCACAAGAAGATTTTTGTCCTTTCTTATAAACTGGGACGATCAGCGATCGAGATCAGTTATATTGAATTACGTTTAGTTGCCAAAATGAAGTTAAGATCCCAATTATTTTATCTAATAAAACTAAACCACTATCCTTAAAAATCTGGTTTAAAAGAAGGAATCGCATGAAGGGACCAATTCACTTATTTGCGAAGTCCCGTTAGCTCTGATGCGCTAGTTGCCGAAGAAGCCTTAACATGAACCCAAAAGACTCAAGTGAAATAGGCTAGCAAAATAGCTAACTTCTTGCCTAACAATGAATATAATTAACAACAGTCTACTCTGCATTAGTTTATGGTAGTAGGACACGGTGGTTACCATTAGGAAATAAGTAATAATAAGAGGGATGCGATAGAACATTTCTTTGCATCACTTCTTTTTTTGATGTGATAGTAAGATTATCGACATTAGATTCAAGGTACCACAGCAACAGCAGTAAGTCAATCAACGAGGTTGCAGATCTGTATTGAATGAAGAGCTTAGACCTTGTATTTTACATACTAAAGTTGTCTGCTCTGATGCGCATTGCTGGTGTAGACTTACTGAATAGGACCTAAGAAATAATAAAAAACCAGTGATAAAAATCCTATGCTATTTCTCGAAAGTGATCACAATCATAAGTATGAAATTACATGTCCTATTTCTATAAATCTTGAACACGTTATTATTCTGTTTGGCCAATAACTTGTCTATCTTTTTATCATCAAATAACTTTCCTATTTAACGCTTTAGTAAAATGCATTACCTTGAAATTATGAACTTTTTAAATGTTGACAAGCACTAGGTGGAAACGTTAACTGTTAAGCGAAATTTTGAGATTAAGTCTTTTATTATTGACACTTCCTGTTATTTTTAACGAGTAAGATCAGTGAGTAAAACAAAAAAAACAAGAAAAATACTCCTTCCAACGAACTCGAAATTGTAATCTCACTAATCTAATCAAACGTTTTGCTTAGTAAGAAATTATAGATTTTGTTGGACACGAATAAGAGAGATAGCTGACAATCGTCAAGCAGTAATCAAATCACAAATTCAAAATATTAAACAAAATTGAATAAAAACTGTTTATGTATCATCAAAGTTGGAAACTTTTTTTCTGATTAGAAAATCTTACACACGAAATATAACAAGTGAACCACACCTGTAAAATCTTGTTCACATCTTCTGTTATCTTTTTCGAAGTCTCCAGTTCAATGACCTTTTGTCTTAAGGACGTAACTTCTGAGCATAAAGCTAAGAGAGAAAAAATAGAAAACGTATGAGTCAAGAAAGAATGGAGGTAGAAAATAGCCCTAATAAATGCTAATCACTCAGAAAGTAATAAGAACGATAAAGAGGCTAAGTATAAGACATCAATTTGGTTGGTTTTTGTTAAAGTGGAATGACATTTTTAGTACGGCTGACACGTATGAGACATAGTGTTAAATTGTGAAGCACTTTTATTGTCATATAAATAACGATGGAATCTAGATTGTTGAAGAATGGTCGGTTTGAAAGTGTAACCTGATGGTTTGGACATAGCATAAAACTACTTCAACTAGGATAAGAAATAAGGCTTCACTATTAAGTTTACTATTTCGAGTAATACACCATAAACATAGTTAATATATAAGCTAAAATAATAAAGGGGAAATTTAGATAGAAAAGTGATAATAATAATAACAAAAGATGAACAGAGAAAGAATCAAACTGGAAATTTGGGAAACAGAAGTTCAAGATTAAGGATACAATGAAGAAAAAACCTATCCCTACGACTCTAAATGATGTTAAGTAATATCATCTTCAAATAGAATTACATCAAGGAAAAGTACATACGATTAAGACCCATTCATCGATTTATATCATAACCTGGTATGATCATCCTAAGGAAAACATTAATCTTAATCCTATATAAAAAATATCATTGCAGATTAAGTGATACAATGGGTAACACACAAATCACATCCATTAAAAATTCTAATATCATCTTATGTTATGTTTTGTCGAGGCGTTAATTACGGATGAGGAAATAATACCAATACGGGAGAGTATCTAACACAACTCAACAACAAAAATATACATGTGGTTTATGAAAATAAAGAACTTAGAACGAACAACCAACAAGAAGAATGGTTAATTATGAGCGATGTTTACAGTTTAGTATCAGTAATGCCAATTAATGTGTAAATGTAATAAACTTTGAGAAATAATTACAACAAAATTGTTTTTGAGGTGACCATGGAACCTATTTACATAGGATTTAACGTTAAACACCAACACTTCACACCAAGGGGTTCAACTGAAAGTAAGCGATGCTTCAAGTATAAATATAGTAAATTAACACATAGCTTTTTAATGTCTGACCAAAAGTAAAGAAAAGTGAACATTATCTGACATTTATAGGTTTGAAATATGATGAAGTGGATGGATATAATTTTGGATGGTAGGACTGTAAATCATAACTATATAGGATAAAATAAAAAAATAGTACGTACCAGATGAAGCAAGTTGTTGACAATGCTTTTGAGCCTCCTCTAATTGTTTATTAGCCTCGTTTATCATTTTATTGTGTGTCTGTTGTGCTTTAATTATTTCAGCTTTAGATATTTCTAGCTGACGACGTAAATCAGTTACTTCAACTTCCTGAATTAGATGAATGCAGAAAATACTAACATGATTACAACTAATGTATATTTTACATCAGAAGGGTTTTTGTGGATATTATAGTAATTTCAATGGTTGAGATCATGAGTCAATTAAAGCTAGACCACCATGGAAAACCTGATGATCTAGCTTCAATTTACTCATGATCTCAACCATTGAAATAATGTATAGTTAACAAATTATAATTTTTAATCTGAAATGATAACGACATTACATCCTATACTAAAATGTTAAACATATGAATACTACCTTAAAAAAGACACTAACTGCAATATTGAGATCTTATAGCCAAAGACTTTTACCATTACTTCTGTACTATTTTCCCACAATATCCGAAAAGATAAATAAGTTTATGCAGCTTAACCAAATAGGTAATGTCGAACACATAATAGTGATGCAAATCATAACTGTGGCAGTAATGACTTACAGGCTACTAATACAAAACCGATTACATTTAATACAAAGGTCACTCCAGTTGGTCATGCTGATGTAGATAAAGCCATACTTATACGTTCTATGTATGAGTTCAGATTATTAAATTGCTAGTCTACAGAACATGTGCATAACAACTGGGTGAGCTCAAGACTTTACTTCATTCAAAAACAAAGAATAATTGAAAGAGTAATTGGACCCCCAGATACCTAGGCTTGATATTATAAAGCTCTTATCCCCCCTCCCAATTCTCTTTGTGTTTATATATTTCTTAATCCATACATTCATGCTTCCCAATTCATATGAATTCTTTTTTATCATAACTACCTTGATAACACTTCTCTTATTACATATTATATTCACACATTATTATTATCATTACCTCGATTAACAAGACGAAATTATCCTACCATGCATTTTAGTCACACAATATTTTATTCTATTATATTACTATTATACTGATTATGACTTAACACTATTATAAATCATTCTGAACTTCATTAAATGACCTTTCCTATTTATAAATGACACAATTCTGAAGTACTTATGTCGTGACAGATGCAAACGTTCACCATTTTTAACGTATGACACTGTCGAATTCATCAACGCATGTCTTATTTTGGCCTTAGTAAAATATCAAAATAATTATGGCCTATAACTGTAGAGCCTGATGATGAAGTTATTGAAAGCAATTGTTCGCTCAAATATTCTTTGCTTTAGAATATTCTATAAGGATTTTTAAACCTTACTTTATTCTGAACATACACTTAATCTTATTTGGATAGTATCCTTTTTAAGAACCGGAATAAATAACCTTTACAAGTCTCCTATTGTATTCCTATAAAAACAGAAGTTTAGCTTAAGCATCTGAAACTCAATCAAATAGTCATACCATAAATGCATTCGCAAAGGACCTATTATGATAAGACAAAATGGTACAAATAACCCTAACATAAAATTGCTTTTGGGAGATTCACTGAAAATATCTAGAACAATCACAGAGGATCTACAGAAAATAAATCAAAATAAATATTAACGATTATGGGTTATCCACAAACTGAGATATGATTAATCTTAAAATGTTACTGATTGTAATAAAAGGGGAATTTTAGATTTCTAACCTTCTCAGTTAAATGTCTTTGAGTTGTATTTAGTTCTGCTCTAATTTCCTCAGTTTTCGAAATAAAACGTTGTTCAAGAGATTCTGTTAATTGGGCTTCTCTTTCTTCAGCTCGTTTTAAAGCATTTCCTGTAGTAAGCTCAACTAATTGACTGGATAAGGATTCATTAGTTGATCGTAAAGCTCTAAGTTCTTCATCCAACTAAATAAATAAACGAATAAAGACTATTTCACTCAAATACGTTAAAGTGAATAACTGATGTTTTTAAATTAAATTTTCGGTTTTCATACGAGTCAGCGGTTACATGGTATATATTTTGAATTATAAGGTAAAAGTGTAATGCTTTGGTAAAGCTATGATGACTTGGTTATGCATTAAATGAGTTAACCTGTAAGTCACTAATAAATACTGTAGAATCTAACATATGATCATGCTATCATATCAGTAAATTATAGCTTTTTGTACTATATAACGTTAACTTGCCATATGAGCCGGGTCAGTTGGAAAACGGTAAGACTAAAAGCAACAGATGAGGTTACAAGAGCAAAGTTGTACTGCTGATTCTAGAGGGTTGTGACGATGATAAAGTGTTCCTCTCGGACAGCAACGGAAGGAGAGGGTTAGAAAAGGTCGACATTCAAGATGTCACACCTCACCTTGACCTACAGATTTTTGCTACAGGTAATAAGTCCTTCTAAAATGCAGAGCTAACATCAAAAACTATCTACAACGAGGCAGCGCACAAGCGGTCTCAAACATTGTCATTTGGGCTCTGTGATCAACCTCTTGGGTCGCTAAGAAAACTAACTGATTGTTTTTCAGGTTCTTCAAGAAATATTCTCCGACGGTGTGGATGAACGGGAAGTGAAAACCACCCTCATATATCTATCAAAATATAAGATCGTCTTGTTGAAGATTAAGCCCTTCCCTCACCTAATAATTCTTCCATCCCCACGACTAACCTTTCTCGTATGTCCTTAACACAAAGCGTTATCAATGCTAGTGATATAAGTTCACGAAGTGATATTCCTGGTCTCCTGAAACCACGCACTAAACTACACTTTGGAACTTCTATTGTTCGAACCCGGTGTCAAATATGAAAAAACAGGCTTCTCTATCCAAGACTCTAGAATCTCGCGCCATCGACGTAAAGTCATTCATTTGACTAACCTTGTTAACATGAAGAACAGGCACGATTTACCCTTCGATTATCTGGAGACCACACTGCTACTTACCGTGGCCTGATATAGATATAGCAATAAATTCAAAATTAGTACAGGCTTTGTAAGACTGGATTCCAATAGGGTAGCTTGTGCACTGATATTAGTGTATCAATCGAAAGTTCTACATCTTCATCAAACGTATGTCATAGATATTCTTTGAGTCCTGTTACAGAAGCACTTTACTAAGTCTCGCTTGTGTTGCCATAAGTAGAAACCGCGGAAATTTAAACATTGATCAATACAGGTTGGCTTTCCATGAACTGACTTTATAGTTCTATCCTGTCTTCGACTCTAAAGTATGTCTAAAAAGGTCGATCGTTTGTTACTTTCTTCCCCATAGATTGTTACGATATCATTCTGTACTCTGATTTGTTTATATAATAACTGAGCAACATTAAAATCCTTATCACACATGACCAATATATCATCCATGTATCTCCTAAACAGAGTTTATATCTCTCTATCATTTAGAGGGGAACCCAACAGAAGGATTTATGACAGATACTAAAAGCAGCCATCGAGAAAACATATTACGCTGCTAAACTGATTGTGATTGGAAGGACTAAGCCCACGATTCCAAATAGTTTGTCGTAACCTTGAATTCACTCTGGTAATCCTATGGCCAAAACTAATGTGACAATTTCCTATTCCTTCCATAATATGTTAATTTCCTCGCTCCTTTATTTGCGATTATCAATTTTCCTACTTGAACTTTCATTTATTTGACCTTTATTAATTTCCCTATAAAACGTCTTGATAAGTATATGTAGGACCAGATTGTTCGAAATGTATAGCACAAATGAATCACACTTTCCACATCAACTCCGTCTTTTCATTGTTTTATCAGAAATCTAAGTTACATTGACAATAGGGAAGACAGTTTACATTGTTTATGAATGTTAAGGCGATGGCATCTGTTATGTGAAAAAAAAGTTATCCACATAGACACTATTAAAAAAATAAATGAATCTGAAATTTTTCTGAAAAATAACTTTTCATCTAGCCGAACAAGACTATTGAAGCGTTTCATTTATATAACGATACATGGATCCATTCCAATAGATTATATGTTATCACCTCCAGATTAATTATAGTTTTAGAAAAAAGCACCTGTATATTTGGACGATGAAGTCCGGACATGTTTACGGTCAAATTAATTATTCAGTAGTTTTGAAAAGTGCCTCATATTTGTTCATACTGGTACAAACGCATTCATCCTTTGTCTTCCATTTGATCTCGAATTCTAACATAGTTATCAATCCTCAGTCTTTCTTATCGTCATTGTTACTGCATTATTTAAATCTTTCCCAATATTCAGCTTGTGAATTTCATCCTTTCGAGCTAATATAGTATGGTAACCTAGGTCACTGCATTTATGTGCCAGGTTGTTTGTTGAGTGATCTGTTGTAGGACTTTTGTTTTGCAAACAATGGGACAAGTTTACAATTTTTAGTCCCTAAATTTCTTCCCTATGTATTGTAAAGATTTTGTAAATTAAGAATTATGAATGTACAAAAAAGTATGATTGGGTAAGTGCGCTAGAAATTGAAAAAAAATGAATATTCCCTATTGTTAACAACTCCGCCTGTAGCTCTCCTAGAGTTACTGCCGGTCCCAAGCCTGGGTAAAGGACGAGGATACCATCAGCAACAGCCTTCTGTGGGAGAGAACCAACCAGCTTCCAGCTGAAGAGGAAATTAGGAAAAGACGATGGAAATGGATAGGACATACATTGAGGAAGTCATCAAACTGCATTACGAGGCAAGCGCTAACTTGGAATCCTGAAAAAAGCGTCGAATATTGTTAACACTTTTTTTAAACTTATCACCACTACATAAACGATTTAATGGTGCATATTTTTCCATACTGAAAAGAATTTGCTAAAACTTAACTTCTTTGTGCTTCAACTTTTCTCAACAAAAAAAGTGCACCCATGAATGGCACATTGAATGTATTTCACTAACAATAATGAAGAATCATTTGTTAAAGCTTTAAACTCAGTGTAAGGTGTAGGTTTACTGTTAAAATAACAAAAAAAGCCCTATATTTTTCGAATTTGAAAACCAGCCAATTCTGGGTAGGCTTAAACAACATGGAGTAAGAAACAGGAAGCAATAAGATTTAGTATATAAAAATTGCATTGCTTGATACGTAAAACAATAAGGATATTGCACACAATTCTAATCGACACACTGACTTTTAGAACGAATAGTTATTTTACAACTTATACTGTCACAAAATACCAACATGAAACCGAGTAACTTTAGTAAGATCGCTTTAATATGAACCAGAAATAATCACACAAATATACATTAATTTCATGAGTTGCTTTATTCTTCTTTTGCTAAGTGTAATAACGATGTAGGAAATTCGAAAATAACGACAGATCAACAAAACTTTTTCACAAACAACATGAAATGATTATGCCTACTGTTGAATTTACATGATATAACTATATTACTCATAAGCAAGTAGGTTATATTGCATAATTTCATTTCCCGTATATCGTTCATTAATCGTAAATTAACTGTTCTCTTAATCGTTAATATATTTTTGGTCTGTCCAGTCAGTCTGTAACAACGTGAACTTTGTACGTACGTACATCACTTCGAGTTGCCATAACACATTAGCACAGAGATTCAGTTATCGATTCAAATCCCGTAGTGGTAGATGTAGTAAAAGTATAACTGGTGATAGGGAACACTAAGGTTTGATGTTATTTAAGGAGTATTATGCAGTGGAATAAATTTGGTTAGAAAATAAAGGACATGAAGAACTCAGAAGATTAGAGTTTGAGAGAACACAGAGAGTGGATGCACCTGCGCCATTGCAAACGATTTTCAGCCATGTCATTCAAGATCTCTAACCATCGGTTGCTATCGTCTCGCGGACCCCAACCAGGTAGTCTACACCTACCATCATGGCTCAGTCCACTTGTCAGTGATTTCATGGATTTGTGCCATGTTTTGGTCTAGCCGCCCCTAGCTTTCTTTTAACCTACTCCTACACTCTAAAACATCGCACGTCGAGGCAGTTGGTGGTCGGGCATAAGTAACACATGTCCCAGCCATCTCAACTGATGAAGTTTCACTACTTCGTCAGTTGATTCGCCATCCTTACCTAGTACCCGTTTCCTAACAACTGCATTACTTATTTGGTGGTCCCAGGATATACGAGCAATGTCGAATACTAGTAACCTAAGAATATCCTATACTCTTACTGGCCATGTTTCACTGCCATAAAGTAGGATGGAACGAACTGCTATGCAGTAAACACGTCCTTTGGTTGATAGACAGATATCTCGCCTACGCCACAAATGACGTAGGTTGGCAAAAGCTAATCGAGCCTTCTGTATCCGTGCTGAGATTTCTTTACACACCAGACCACAAGGGCTGATGAGACTTCCAAGATAAGTGAAGCGGTCGACACGCTCAACTACTTCACTCCCTATCACTAGTTCAGGTGCCGATGCAACCCAATCCTGAAGCAACATTTTGCATTTCGAGGGAGAAAATCGCATGCCGAACATGCTTGCATTGTTGCTTAGAGTGGTCAGCAGACTCTGCATTCTGTCAGCGTCTTCAACAAATAGAACTATGTCATCGGCATATTCTAGGTCAAAAAGTGAATTTCCCGGTAGAAGTTCAACCCCTGGAAATTCAGATGTGGAAAGTGTTATCTCTAAAAGAACGTCAACGACAAAGTTAAACAAGAATGGAGAGAGTGGACAGTCCCGACGAACACCACTTGAGGTAATCAGTTCTGATGACAGTTCGCCATAAGCTCTCACTCGACCAGTTAGTTGTGTTCGAGTAGAGAGCCTTTATAAGGTTAATGTACTTCTTTGGTACTCCTTTCAGTGACAAACACTGCCACAGAACCTCACGATCGACAGAGTCAAATGCCGCCTTAAGGTCGAGAAATACTACCATTGTGAGGCATCTGAATGTGTGTTTATGTTCTAGGACCTGACGTAGTGTGAATATTTGATCTATACAACCACGTCCTGGTCGAAAACCAGCCCGATTTTCTCTAGTCTGCTCTTCACGAGCTTTGGTTAGGCGTCGAAGTAATATTGAAGCTAATATTTTAGACACTATATTAGTCAAACTGATTCCTCTGTGATTGTCACAAGAGGACTTTTGTCCTTTCTTATAGACTGGCACAATCAGTGATTGAGACCAATTCCCAGATTCTACCTAAGACCTCAGTCAGTCTTGCTGCTAATACGGGACCGCCATCACTAAAAATCTCAGGGGTAAACCTGTCAGGGCCTGATGCTCTCCCACGCTTCAGATTTCCTATAGCATTTTCAACCTCGTAAAGAGTCAAAGGACTTACATTAATTTGCCATTCAGGTAGACTGGAGATCGTGGGAAACCGAAGTGTGGCTGAAGGCCAGTTGAACTGATCCCTAAAGTGTTCTGCCCATCGATCCAATCTCCTGGATTGAGAATGAATAATATGTCCATCTTTCTCTGAGATTGTTTCGCTAACAGTTGGGTTCCTAATACAGGTTTCCTTAACAAGTCTGAGCAGTTGTCTGCTGTTACCTAATGCCGCTGTCGCCATTATCTGTTCTTTGAGCCACAACACCATGAGATTCACCCAGGTGTCTTTCCCCTTCGCTTAGTTTACCTAGTTGAGCATTAAAGTCACCAGTCACTATTACTACATCAGAGCGCCTAGCTATTCGGAGAAGGTCGGGAAGCTTTCTGTAAAACTCATCTTTTACATTATCTGAGCTGCAGTTAGTGGGAGAGTAGGCAGAGACGACGAAGAGGCAACGACGAGTGTCCCTATCTTCCCGAGTCCTTACTGCTCCGTTTAGTCGAACAGTGCACAAACGACTGTTCACTGGGATCCAGTCTAAGAGAGCTAGTTCTGCCCTAGGACTCAATGCTATACCTACGCCAGCGAGGCCACGGGAAGCAGCATCAGGGCTTCCAGACACACGAAGCGTAAATCGAGGTGGTTCGTTACTTTGACATGGTGAAGTCAAATGAATGACATTACTCGGATTCTGTATGCGCGTTTCGGAGACGCAGCACACATCGATGGAGCGAGATTATAAAGTCTTAGCTGAGGAAGCCTGTTGTCCTATTTGGCACAGTGTTCGGACGTTGAAAGCTCCTACGTGTAGTTTGGAGCGTAGTTTCAGAAGATCAGGAATAACATTCCGCCTACTTGAATCGTTTGCACTAGCGGGGTGGTGATAAAGGGACGTGAGAAGGGTTGGTCGTGGAGATAAGAGAGTTATTAAAAAGTGTAGGAAGGATTTGAATGTGACCAACTTGGTCTCGTGTGCTGTTACGGGTATGAAGGCTGATGTCACTTCCCAATCGCCCACACCGTGGAAGGGTATTTCTTGAGGAACCTGAAAAAGAAATCGGATTAGTGCTGGTCTTAGCGACCTGGATGCGTGACCGCAGAGCCCAAGGGACAACTGCTTGAGGCCGGTCGCCCACGGCCTTTTTGTGGGAGGTTTTTAATGTGTTAGCTCCGTTCTTCAAAGGGCCCTGCCGCCGGAGACGGAAATCCGTGGGGTAAGGTGAGGTGTGACATTTTCAGGGTCAACCTTTTCTAACCCCTTCCTTCCTTGTGAGAAGGCAGCATCGCTGCAGATGCTGGTTGTCCGAGGGAAACATCTTACTGCTGTCACACCTCTGTACAGTCAGCAGTACGACTTCGCTCTCAGACCTCGAGTTGCTGCTTTTAGTCTTACCGTTCTCCAATCGACCTGCCTGGCATGGTAGAACCTACAGGAACATATGTTCCAGCCAATATAGCTTGGTTGGGTCATCACGATAGGCAAGCCCGACCACCACGTCAAGGTAGGAGCTACGGTCGGGTCTTTCCAATGCATCATCAAACCAGTCATTTTTATACTTGTTTATTCCGAAAATTAACTGTTGTTTCTCAGGTTATCACGTTGCATTTAACGTAAAACTTATGCTACTTATTAACTTATCGTAGAACCGTTAGTTATTTGGACATATATATATATATATATATATAAGATGCCAAATCTTTTTGAATTCAAACGACCTTGGGTGAGTTCTTCTGGTAAATCTAACACTTACAGATATTTAATGCGAAATTCTGATCCACTACTTAATAAAATCCAGCGTCTAAATAACATTATAAATTATTCAAGTATTAGTTAAGTCAGCTTTTTTTTAGCTTTTTTTACATACCACAATACAGGAACTGTTTTCAATCCGAATAAATCAGGAGGCTTAAGTCAAAATGGTGAATGGAATTGCTCAACTTAACTAATTAGTCAGTCTAATAGGCATAAATATAAAAATTTAGTAAGGAAAATAAGAACCTTTTTCTGAAGCTCTTCATTCCGTTTCAGTTGTTTCTGTAAGACTTCCGAGTTTTCTTGTTTAGCAACAAGCTCTTCACGTAATGACTTGACAGTATCTTCCATTGCTGATAGTTTGGAACGTAGTATTTCTTTATCTCCTAATTTAATGAGCAAGAGAAAAAATCGAAATACAATATTTTTGGATGAAATTAAAACGTATATATCACTGGCGTATACAAGAATGTCTGATATCGTCAGGTTTGATACGAGACAGAATGTTCAGGCACTCAGAAACTATTAAGTTACGGTAGATTCCTTATAAGCACTGCCAGAAAGTAAAGTAGCACGTTGGTAGGAAACCTAACATGAAGGACGAAAATTAGAATGTGCGAGTCTCCCATGATTTTTGTCAGACTGGCTGGCGTCATAGACTTGTAAATTCGGATAATAATAATAATAATAATAATAATAATAATAATAAGGCAGAAAACTTGTTTCAAAGCTGTTTGTGACGTCCAGAGAGCAATAGTTTTAGGATGACTACGTCTAATGTAACATGGTTTGGTAAAATAGAAGCTCATCTAGTGGATTAGAAGAAGCAAAATACAATCCCTATAAAGTTAGAATAGCATGAAATGACCTACAAACAAAACTCACCTTCAGCTAATAACAAACGATGATTAGACAGACGTTTTTCTTTGGCTATGTCCTCTCTTAACTGAACAATTTCTGTCTGTAGCTCCTGTAACTGATGTCCTCGAGCGGCATACAGTAATTCACGACGATCCTGTTTGTCGTTAGGTAGTAAACAAGAATCTATTTTTTCGTTAATACTACAAGTCTTTATTGGAGTAATGTACGGGATAAAGCCATTTTTATGTGAGATATTCTTATCCGGTTCATTGCTAGCTAAAGAAAAAGTGAGAGTGAAACAGGTACGTTGAAATACTTTCCAAAAAATAAGAAAAATTCTATCTTTACTGCCCATGTATGGAAACCTTAACAAATCGAAAACTATACGGTAACTAAATGACTAAGTATAAGGTTAATGTAAGAGACTGGCAGACCATTAACTTGAAATAAGTCTTATGTGGGCTCAGATCATTAATCTCCCAATGGTTTACAAAAATATAGTTACTACTACCTAGAGGTTAAAAAGTTTCTGGGAGACAAACGTTTTTTACCTCATAAAGAAAGTCCTTATCCAAATAAACTGATTTTCTAAAAGTGATGTGTGGTATTGTAAATGTTGAAGCCTCTCTCAGCATTAAGTTGAAGAAATGAACACCACTCGACCTACTTCGGTCGGAGAAACGGTTAGTACCAGTGTTTTTTTCATATAGAATGTGACAGAAAACAAAATACATAAACTCACAATTCGTTACTATGTTAAGCTTACCTTAATTGACATTCAACTCATAAAAGTCACTAAAAATGAGTAGACCATCACCTAAAAAACAGCATATATTTCTCTTAATAACACTGAATTCTCGCTATTTCAAAGTATAGTTAATAACCGATACTTGAAGTCCGCAACTACTTTTCATTTATTATCCAGGCCATTTGAAAATTGGATTCGCAGACTTCGGAAACCTAATTCTCGATAAAAAAAAATCAAACATCTATCATCCAGTGAAACAATGAGACACTAACTGGATAAGATAACTTAGTTTTGAATTGATTCACTCTATGACAAATTATGCGGATCCTGATATTTGAAATAAAGTTGGGATTCCGAAGGTTATAGTTATGACTCGCTGATAAATGTCAGTAAGCCCGAAATTCGTCAAATGCTTTTAGCCATCTGACAACAAAACGGTGTGATATGACAACTTAATTGGCTCAGTTATCACACTAGGCATTTTGGCGAACAGAATTCGATTAATGAGGATTGAACACTACATTAGTTACAAACGACGAATCCACTAACTTAACATAGTTTCCTCTGTTCTTGTAGACACGTGAGCGGTAAAATTATTCCAATACAAACCCTTTCATTACCATCAATTTTGATCCTGCTCTCTGTTTTCTATTTATATTAGTTGTTAATTAAGACCAATCAACAAAAAGTTTCGCAGTAACGAAAAATAAGCAACGGTAAAATCTAAAGTAGGCTGAATCTATCCTACCTGGATGTAGCTTTCTAGGTTGCATATCTAAAGTGCTAACGGGAATAGTAGTGTGAGTCATCTGGTCATACGTTACGTGAGACGGGGTAGGGACTTTAGAACTTCCTGGCCAAATTGCATTTTTCGGATTCGTAGTTGACATAAAATATGATGAAGGAGCAGCACCAAACGACGAGGCCGATGATAACATTTGTAGGGATTCAGTATGATTAGGAAGAGTAAGAATTACACCTGATGAAGATTCAAAAATATAAACATGCAGCTGAATCCGGATTTATAAAGTTTTAAGAAATAAGTCTGAATTGTCTTGATTTGAAATAATAAAACCAGATAACCCTAACTTTTTTTTAATTTTCACTAATAAAGTGGATTACTAGATCGAATAGTAAGAAGTTTGAAAAAACAAAATGCTCAATAGCGATACATTTCATGAAGCCATAAAAATTTTGATTTAAAGAATACAGTTGGTGTAAGGAAAAGAGCATAAACCACATATAAGCAAAAAAGAACAAATAATTACAGTGTTAAAAGAGTGAAGTGATTACAAATCGTATACTTTTCGAAACTTGAAGTAAAGTATACGTACTTTATTATCGTCACCAATAACTGTCACTAAATGTGTGTACTTAGGTGCAAACCTAAGACACAGCAAATACAAGTGCATAAGAGGAAATACATTAGTAAGGGAACAAAGCTAACCTTGACGCTTGAGAAATAAGAAATAAACAGTGTCAACAAATACATTTATTACCAACTGACTACAAAAAGCATATTGACAACCGAAACTTCAAAGACTTTACCTTGTGTTGTGCATGGTTCTACATTGTGTCGCGCCACATCAGATAATTTATCTCCAGTCTCATCAGGAAGACTTAAGTCCCAACTAAGAACCGGTTCAGAACTGCCATCTCTGTGGTGGAAAATCACAGAGAAATTAAGTTATTTATAATTTATGGTTAAAAAAGTTCTATCCAAAGCTGTTATTTATCTTACTTTGTCTCATTGTGGTAGTTATTACAAGAAGGATGACCATTGTTAGTGTTTTCACATCGCTCAGATCTGTTGTTGGGATCTTCAGGGTGCTGAAAACCACAGGTGTTTAGGGTGCACTGACCATGTGATTCAGAGAATCCGTATCCATTACGTGATTGCTCACTATCATTCTTAGAACTTGTTAATTCATTTGAATTCGTGGTTTCATTTTCAGAGCACTATTCAGAGGAAAATATAGGTGACCAAAAGTGGAAATGTGGCTAAGACTATGATGTACATATGTACTACCTTTATAGAAAAAAACCAAATGATTCGAATAGTAAGATTGAGGACTACCACTGGGCACCTTCAAAGGGTTAGGCTGAAAACATTGAGGCTAAGGAGAAAATGTGGAATTATATGCAGCAAATCACTCTTAATAACCAATTTTTAAATTCTCTATGGACATATAATGGTAATATCCCAACAATAACATAACCTGTAAGATCACAGGACCATTTTCAGCTGCCAGAACCATTGAATATCTTGCTGTTTAATTTAAATTCCAACTAGATCTTCATGCTGCACTATATAGCGTTTCTTAAACAAGCCGTTTTCCTTCATTTTGAAAGTCAAGAAGATTTGTAGCAGTTTGTAGCTGAACATAATATCAAATAAATAATGTTTCTCAGTGAGTTATTTAAAACTACATGAACGTTTTAAAGCTTGCTGAGATCTCTCCGAAGTGATGAAAATAATTTAGTCATACGTAACGTAGAGTCAGGGATAATAATAATAATTGAATTCTGTTGGTCTATAATAAAATAATTATTGTTAAATATTAAGATACATGTTATCGTCGAAATAGTGTATAGAGCTTCTGATGAAGAAGCAAACCCATCCAGATAATTGAGTTGCATATGATTTCTTGGTGTCATCACGCACACTCAAAGTAAGCAAGGACCGATTCCTTTTTTCAACATATGACATTTACATACACCATGAAAAAAATTGCACGTCAAACTCCAGTTAGCACTGATAGAATAAGATATGGAAAACTAGAAAAACTGGAAACTATAACTTATGGATGAACCAACTCGATTAAGAAATATCGGGTTTGGAGGAAATCTATTGACGTGGATAAAAGACTTCCTAGTTGAGCTCAAACGAAGAGTACGGGTGAACTCAAAGTTGTCTAACTGGGGAGCTGTACTTAGTGGAGTGCCCCAGGGTACAGTTTTGGGGCCAGTATTATTCCTCTTGTATGTGAATCACCTTCCTCGTCTACCATCACCATCGGTCTTGCTATATGCTGAAGATGTCAAGATATGGAGAGCGATACGAAGTTAGGGTGATAGCTTTGAACTCCGAAATGACCTGAAGAAATTATCTGAGTAGTCTCAAACCTGGCAGTTGCAGATAAATACTTCCAAGTGTATTGTGATACATATCGGTCATCAAGGTACAGATACATACATGATGAATAACACTGAGCTACCTGTTGCCCAGACACAATGACTTAGGATTCATCGTTAGACAAGACTTAAACACTACTGCAAACTTCCGTGCAATATCCACCAAAGATTTTGGAACTTTATGGTCAATACGTAGGGCCTTTAGTCATATCGACACTGAAAATTTTTTGACTTTTTAGTGTTTGTGCGTCCTGAACTTGAGTACTGCATACTATCGGCTAGCCCCTACTTAAAATAAGTCAGTGAGTTTTTGGAAAACGTTGAGAGAACGGCAACTAAGTTGATTCCCGGAATAGCAAAGCTCTTGCATACAGCTCGACTGGCTAAGCTAAACCTATCCACGTTGTCTTATCGAAGAAGTAGAGATGACTTGATTACAGTTTCCAAATTGCCCTTATTTTTCGTGTCTTCCAAAACAGAGAATTTACGAGGACACTCCAAAAAAGTTCACCAGCGCAGAACAAACTTGTCCGTTAACCATCGACTTTTCCATCGAATCATCAACGAGTGTAATTCATTACCTCAGCACGTGGTTGAGGCTCCAACCATCGACTCTTTCAAAAGAAAGCTGGGTCAACTGAGAGATCATCATTGCCAGGACCAATACAGGCCACCAAGCCTCCTGCCCTTTCCAAACTGAAACTGGTCCGTTGTAAAACCTTTTCGGCATTATGGCCGATATCAGTTTGTGATTAGAACCCTAATTCCACGAACTAATCCATATCACTTATTTCCACCAAGGAAGGAGGTGGACATTCTCTAAGTCACCCTAGTATCGCTCAAAAGTCCATAAATAAGTCGTACAGAAAAACTTTTAACTTTAAGGGGCTTATACAGTCATGTTCTTGAGATGGGTAGAGGCAAATTTTTAATGCCTGACTCTTTAAAAATCCACTAACAAAGAATAGTGACGATCATAAGATCTCTAAAAAAGCAGCCTATAACATACACTAACTGAAGATAACTTGAGTGTCAATTTCAGAATGGGAGTCGCAAGACAACAATTTTACTGATTTCTAACAATTGAGAAGGCTTAACATACCTCTCCAAAATTGTGGATAGCACCTTCTAGCAAAGACAATTTTTCTGCTTCGAAAATGCTCATTAAATCGTTAGAGTCACACGGCACAGCATTATTCGCAGCTAACCCTAGCTGGTTTTCTTCATCACTGAAATCAAAATTACTCAACTGCTCATAAATTAGTTGATTAAGCTATACAACCATTTGAAGTTAGTGAGTGCTATTACCTCTTGTTTAAGGATTGGGTCTTCGTGATCCACTTCCAAATCATTTATTTTAAACTCATTGCGGTCGAAATTTATCATCTCAGTTACCATGCTTAAAACGAATTTTTACTGGTTTTACGCTAACTCAGGTTTCTCGGCTGAGAATCATTCTATATTTATCACGTAAATCCAAGAAATTAGAGACCGTCTCTAAGAACGCTCGACCAACGTTTGTTGCGCCCATTTACATAAACTAGTTAACGAGTCACTAAAACACATTCTACTCGTTGTCATTAACAAATCAGCATTATTCTCAGTTTTCGAGCTTTTTAAGAAGTAAGAAGAAACGCTTCTTTTACCAAGATTTCTTCCTCGATAGTAGTAGGTCGCTTATATTTCCACGTGAGGATAAGGGATATGAAAACATATGGAATTTTAAATGAAATATATTGGTATTAGGTCTCTGAGAAAGGCTTTAAAAAGGTCTTTTCAATTAATCAGGAGGATCTTGACAGGAAATATAAGTTATATCTGCAATTCAGTTTCAAACTGAGAAGTATCATGTGTATAAACTAAATAAGCTTGTAATAAAATTATTTTGTGCACGTCTTGATTTATCTTTGAAGTTCTGATAACTGCTCATTTTATTCGTATTCAATACGGAGAAATGAAAGTTCTCTCTCATAAATAAATAAATAAATATATATATATATATATATATATATATATATATATATATATTGTTAGTAACCTTCTAATCTCTATTCCAATCCTTTTACTGGGTGTATGAAATACGATTCCTTACCACATCTCGTGTTATCCTTCTGCTTTAGCGAGTTTTACTGTCGTTGGTAAGTTCCTACCTGGGTTAAGAGATACCCATGGACCAGAAAGTAAAGGTTCTTACGGTAAATAAACCCACATGATAAACAGCTTTTAGATCTTCGACATAGATACTAGCCTCACTAAATTTACTGAACACGCCTAGCTAAAGGCGGTCGGTTAATTATTTGTACTAGATTGTACTCGCACTTACGATGCTGAGCATCTCTGACAAACAGTCAGCTTAGATTCCATAAATTACGGTGCACTAACCAAACATGTGTTCATACACTGTTTATCGTCGTCTATCGGTCCTTTCGGCTAGTAGAACATTGCATAAGAAGGGTCCCCAGAGAGTTGAGTTGTTGAATTCTACTTATCCTTGACCTCATCAACCTTATTCACAGACGTAGTTACAAGCACCTCATACCCACTCAAAACTCGTTGGCTCGCACTAATATGAAGAATGTCAAAATGACTGCACGATCACACGAAAGAAAATGACTCCTAAAATAAGCAGATATGTAATCATTCAGTACCTGCGGCGACGTTATCAGTTTTTAATAACTCTGTCTCCTGGGGGGGGGGGCCTGACCAAACGTATTATCTGTATCCTGGCACAGAACACGTGAAATGTATTTCCTGTATTATGCGGAGGACATACTCGTCCTAATTCTCACTTATTTTACATTTGTCCAAATGTAGCTTTCCTCCAATCATAAAAGTCTTCTTTTTTGTCTTCAAAATAATGTGTGGATAATTGGACAGGCCACAGTTCTGCTAAAAGTTCAAATGACTCTATATCTTATGAACTGCGCTGAGACGTAAGGAGGTGGTTCGTTCCAATGTGACCAATGGGATCTAATAAGCATTAAAAAGGACTCGACATGCTTGGAATACATCAATACTAGCTGATCAATTAATTGTAAATACATCTCAGTTATATAGGAGGTCAGTCGTGGGCGAAAAAGCTCAGTGGTGCTGTTTTACTAGACGAGTGATACAAGATCAAGCACTCTAGTAAACATCAGTTACCTTAAGATTGCATGCATGCTTTACTCAAGAGTGTTATAAAGCATTACAGTTGAGTCTAGGGTTAGTTATCGACTGTATCCATCCCCTTCTCAGTATTCCTCAGTTTTTTAGGAAGACATTTCACACTTCTCAGTCAAACAATCTGGACGATTATTTGATGACTTTACATTAATTGGTTCCAGCACCCTCCGTGCCCTAAGAAAGATCATTAATCGACTTTCCAAATCGACCAATTTTCGAACAACTGATAATATCACTAAGGTTGTCGAATTGAAGTGACCTGACCACACTAAGCAGGCTGCTAAGAGTCGTCAGCTGAAACCAAAACGAAAAGACAGGTGGACAATTTCCTCGGAGTTAGATCGTTACGAAAATATGGACAATTGAATATGGCGAGTATTGGATTCAGAAACTAGAGCTAAAACCTCTGGTTATGGTTGGCAAACTGTTTTATTTTCACGCTACAGTTATATTCCGAATACTCCTGTCATTTAACGCGAGTAAGTCTTATTTGTTAGTGGAAAGTGTTTGTGGCTAAAATGGATGATTTTCATGGAGTCTCTATACTTCAACTTCCACAAATGTATCGTCAGACTTACTACTTTTTGCTGGTGAAACCTTGAAGAGAGATACGCAACCACGAGGTCGAATTGGCTTTTCATGAGGAGCTGGTTCGACTTCGAAGTTGGGCGGATGACAACGGACTTTCCTTTAACACTTCAAAGTGTAAAATAGTCCATCTTAGACATTTCGCATGCTACAGCTACAACCTAGATGTATCTTAAGTTGAAAAAATTTAAGAATTATGGTATGCTACGATTTGAAGTTTTACGCTAGCTGTGACAAAAATGCCTTTCGAGTAAACCTCACTCTTGTAACATTGAAGCGCATTTTTGGTCAGTTTCACGAAAGAACTTTCCACATAATTTTCAACAGTTTTATTTGTCCCCATTTAGAGTACGGAATCGTAGTATTTCCTCTTTCACTCCAAAAGGATACCGACACTTCGGAATGTATCCAACGGCGAGCCACGAAATCAGTTCAGGGACTCAAATTCAAGCATTGTGAAGAGAGCCTCCGATCATTCAACATTTACCCATTATAGTATAAACTGCTTAGAGGTGGCCTAATGACTGACAACATCTTAAATACTCTAGGACATCTTAAACACGTAGTCAAGTTCAGTTCCAACACAAACCTAATGAGTAACACCCAGAAACTGGAGACCCGACTCAGGAGGACGGACTGTAGACACAACTCCTACTACTTAGTAGTAGTCAAATACTAGAATTCGCTGCCGAGCGAGCTAGTCCAAGCGACTTCCCAGGAATCCATTAAGAGAAAACGTGTCATGTTCTTAAGGACTAAGGATAGTATTTTGCTATGATTTACCGACTTCGTTTTCCTCCTTCACCGATTATATACCTAGGTTCCTTCCTGAAGGTATTGGTGATCCACTGCTACTAGATACGGAGCCCGTTAAACGAAAGCTTCTTCTATTCCATCCAAAACCATTTGAAATGCATACTTAGCTAAGTGGGTTGTGTACTTCATCAATATCATCATCATCATCGTATTGTAATGGAATGAGACCATGGAGACGAAATTGTCATACAAACCAAATATTGCATGTCAAATGGAGAGTAAAGAAACTTGGGTGGCTTCGTTTTCCGGTTCTGATCGTTTGATCGTGAAACTTTCATTGCTCTTCTGAACAACATTATCAGCACAAACGTCTGGTAACATTGAAGTGTTCGAATTGCACCACACATGACTCATTACTTGTCTCTCGATCATCACTGGCTGTTATTGACCCCTAGCCTGTCATTGCCTATCTCTTTATTTTGATTCTATCTACTTCGTGGTCCTATGTTTGCCCATGATTTTTGTGATTAGTTGGTGAATTGGATCGACTTCGATGTGTGTTATTGATCGCTGAGTGTCAAGCTTCTTAAATTTCTCTGGTGATATTAGTGTTCCCTCTATCCAAGAATTCAACAATTTTTCAGTCGAATATGTGTCTACAGTTGTCCGCATATTGTGTTGGCATTTAGAAAATCTATAGATGTTCTAGTTCAGCACTGACGATTGACTGACATGAGAGAGGTTTGTTTTCTTCGTGGTATGGGAATATCGATAAATTACCGGTGACCTTTTAAAAAAATTTCAGATTTTTGTAGTACTTTCATTCTTACTGATCAATACACCAACTTAATAATTTTTGTGATATTCTACATAATTGAACTTTACATAACATATCTTTTAATTTATGATTAGTTTGTTTCGTAGATATGCCGACCTATTTTAGATTTAGACATAGAAAAGCAGTTGTGGGATTCGGACATTGTTTCATTTCACTTATTGCTCAATATCAATTTGAAATGATTTTCACAATCGACTTTAAGCAGTTGCCCCAACAGCGCTCTTCAACGCTCCAAGTGATTGGGACGCTACGACATACAATGTGCTCAAGAATAGGTCATCGGTTTCTGTGACAACGTGAGAAACGACAGAGCTTGTGCTTTGCCCGTTACTACCGTCCGTGATTGGAAGAAAATATGCTGTCGTGTCCTGACATTTTATATCAAATTTAAGAAATAAACGACCGATTATAACGAACTTAAAACTAGCTATTTGATTGGACGAAACAGGATAAAAATTATTGGAAGATGGGGATGAAAAAAAATTTCACTCGAAAAAAATAAGAAAATGGCTGTGAAATTATTGTTAACCTAATTTTTTGATTGTGTTGATGTATGGTCAGTAATTTACCGTATATTATTGTACGAGTAATTCATAAATCCGAATTGTGTGATCAAAGGTTACCTGCTCACAGTGCTGTGTTCTATTCTAACTATCTGATGGGCAAGCATAGGAAACTTCATCCTGGATCAATAGTCATTATGAGTTGTTGTTGTTAACCCACTGCTATCGTCTCATCAGCTAGCTGAAGGTTGTTGGTCCTGAATAGACATTGTGGGAGGAATAATCAAAACTTTGACAAGGTTAATACAACTGCTGGGTTACCACTTAATCACTGTCCAATCATCTGGAAACTTCCTATCACATAATCTAATAGTTTTTATGAATGTTATCTCAGTGTCTCTATTTTTCAAATCACTGATTTAATTCCTACTATGAGGCATGGTTACAAGATTTTATTATTCTTATCACAACTAGTACACCTGTCATCACACTATCAATTTGTACTCTTTACTTATTATGTTTATTTATGTAATCTATTGCACTGTTAT